TTAGAATCGTTGTGTGAAGTTTTCAGCAAAATGCCGGCCGCCTTGAGTTCCTACCACTTTACCTGTTACCATTTTTGCCCGGGTCGAATAGATAAACAAGAGCAATCTTTTCTTTTCTTTTTAATATTCGAGAAACTGGCAGAAAGCAAACAAGAATGACAATGTTTGAACGATTGAGTGTGAAACTGTTTGAACGAGCGAGTAAACTCATTGAATGAGCCTTGTAGTTTCACCAGTTCTATCCCTGGTGTAAATATCACCACTCTAGTGCAAGACCAACATTGTCCTGGTACCGTTGTGTTGATATCATGTTAGGAACACCTGCCTGTTTCCAGGCTTCTTGGCTTCAAGCCTGACTGTCAAGTCTGGACAAACGCAGTCTGATGTAATATTACACTGTGACTGAATCTTGAATACGGGTTTTAATAGGCCAGATAATACTGCGTCGATTTAAGGGAGCAGCCGGAGGTGGAAGGGGGGGGGGAACTCTTCTAACGGGTAAATAAAGTGTTTATTTACTGTACAAAACGACCAAGTATGTGTTTAAACAGTTAAATAAAGTGTCGAATTGAGGTAGAAATAAGAAAACATGGCTTCTAGCAATAAAAATTAAGTGTTTAGTTGAGGTAGAAATCAGAAAACATGGCTTCTAACAGTCAAATAAAGTGTCGAGTTGAGGTAGATCAGAAAACATGGCTTCTAACAGTTAAATAAAGTGTCTAGTTGAGGTAGAAATCAGAAAACATGGCTTCTAACAGTCAAATAAAGTGTTTAGTTGAGGTAGAAATCAGAAAACATGGCTTCTTGCAGTCAAATAAAGTGTCAAGTTGAGGTAGAAATTAGAAAACATGGCTTCCAACAGTCAAATAAAGTGTCGAGTTGAGGTAGATCAGAAAACATGGCTTCTAACAGTTAAATAAAGTGTCTAGTTGAGGTAGAAATCGGAAAACATGGCTTCTAACAGTTAAATTAAGTGTTTAGTTGAGGTAGAAATCAGAAAACATGGCTTCTAACAGTCAAATAAAGTGTCGAGTTGAGGTAGATCAGAAAACATGGCTTCTAACAGTTAAATAAAGTGTCTAGTTGAGGTAGAAATCGGAAAACATGGCTTCTAACAGTTAAATAAAGTGTCGAGTTGAGGTAGATCAGAAAACATGGCTTCTAACAGTTAAATAAAGTGTCTAGTTGAGGTAGAAATCGGAAAACATGGCTTCTAACAGTTAAATTAAGTGTCGAGTTAAGTTAGAAATTAGAAAACATGGCTTCTAACAGTCGAATAAAGTGTTTAGTTGAGGTAGAAATCAGAAAACATGGCTTCTTGCAGTCAAATAAAGTGTCAAGTTGAGGTAGAAATTAGAAAACATGGCTTCTAACAGTCAAATAAAGTGTTTAGTTGAGGTAGAAATAAGAAAACGTGGCTTCTAACAGTCAAATAAAGTGTTTAGTTGAGGTAGAAATAAGAAAACATGGCTTCTAACAGTCAAATAAAGTTTCGAGTTGAGGTAGAAATTAGAAAACATGGCTTTTAACAGTCAAATAAAGTTTCGAGTTGAGGTAGAAATTAGAAAACATGGCTTCTAAAAGTCAAATAAAATGTCTAGTTGAGGTAGAAATCAGAAAACATATCTTTCAACAGGTAAATAGAATGTTCACTTAGTGGATAAAACATGCATTGTATATTCTAACAGTCGATTATAGGTAGAAATCAGAAAACATGTTTTTTAATAGTTCAGTGCTGTGTTTATTTATTGCACAAACTAGAAAATGTATTTTATAAGAGTCAACTAGAGTGCATTGACATGGCAGTGCCAGGTATTCGCAAGAACCACATCTCAGTTGCCTCTAAACTCTTCTTACACGCGGATTATATAATGTTTGTGGAATAATTTGAGGTTTTGAACAACGGAACAACATCATGGAACACGGGCAGTAACCCATTAGTGCTCCGTTCTTCTTCTAACCAAGGCTGAGCCCGAAGAAGCTCAGCACGGTGCAGAGGGTCTGTAGCACCGGCGAGGATCCTGAAATTCTTTGGGTAGATTTTTAACTCTAATTTTGCCCGGGCAGCGCCGTTAGGCTACTTTTTTTTTAGATTTCCAATGGTCAGTTTTTTTTTACGTGTGCAACAATACACACGAGCGTCTGATCTCACTACCCCGAGACTCGGGGGAATTACCAGAAGTCTCAGGCCACGTGAAAAAAAAAATCATAGCCCTTACCAGGGATCGAACCCGGAACCTCTAGCACTCAAGGCGGACACCATGCCTCGAGAGCACGCAGACACCCCCTCCCCAATTTAAGGCGTATAAACAAATACTCGAAAAAGAACTGTTGATGGTGAGGTAGGGGAGGACGGGAGCTTCAAGAGCCTGAGCTGAATTCCCCCCCCCCCCTTTTTTTTCCACCCCTCTCCAGATTCCAGTGCTTATGGAAAGTTATTTTTACACATTCTTATGGCCTCCATGGCTCAACGGTTAGTGAAGTTGGTCAACAATGTCAGGATCCTCGTGTACTGGGACCCGTTACCCACGGTGGATGGTGGAGAAGAAAATCGTTCTCCTGGTTTTCCGACAGTAAGAGATTGGGTCTTTAGCACGTAATATTTCCAATGACTGCCGTGGTACATTGTAGCCAGCCTTCCTTATATCATTGAAAGAGTGACGTTCAGTGCCACGGGGACCGCACAACGAGCGATAGACACCCGGTGGTACAAAGTGCCACCATTCGAATGAGAATCATCTGGTTGCAAGACCCGGAACCCCGAACAACCATTAGGTTATAACAGGGCACCCGGCTTTAACACAACGAAAAATTGCGTCCCACACTGGGACGGCATTGATTATTTATATCATTTATTATATAAAAGATTTAACAGCCTTAAAAGTCTATGGTTAAGCACCAGCAAGGAGATAAAAATTAGAATTTTGAGAGCATGCATTTTCCCTGTGGCTACATATGGATGTGAGTCGTGGACTATCTTTCAGTCCTTAAGAAAAAGAATAGGGGCTTTTGAGCTGAAATGCTATAGAAAGATTCTCAGAATATCTTGGACAAAGAAGAGGAGAAATACTGACTTCTTGAAAGATCTGAACATCAAGGAAGATTGGCTAATGAACAGCATCCTTTCTCGAAAGCTGAAATATTTGGGTCATATCAAGCGCCACGACGGATGGGAAAACATTATAGCAGAAGGCATGGTACCAGGAAGGAGGGGCAGAGGCCGACCGACACGAAGATGGGCACAGGATATAAGTGACTCCTTGAGTGTGAAAGTTTATGAGGCGGGAGAACTGGCAAGAGACCGAGTTTCTTACAGGCAGACTGTTATGAGAGCGACGTTCTGCAGAGGACCTGCTATATGATGATGATGATTAAATAAAAAGGTAAATTAAAATTTTAGAGGAAAAAAAATTTATGTTAACAAATGTGTAGAGTAATAGAAACAGCTTAAATAAGTATTTGATTGAACTGGTAAACCTCCGTGTGGGTTCCAGGGCCCTATTATAGGGAAAACAAGAATAGACCCACTGCCTACCCAAAAGCATGTCATAAGAGTCGACTAATTGGGAACTTCCTTCGAAGGAGGGCATCTGTCTCAGAGGCAAGGAGCCAACATTCTGCACACAAATGTGTCAGATCTGTCAAACGGATGCACACGCAACACTCAGGTTCTGGAACAGGACTGCAGTCCAGAAGTGGACGAACAGCCAGAACTTTCCACCATAGTTTACAGCTGGTAAACGCATAGAAGAAGAAGAAGAAGAAGAAGAAGAAGAAGAAGAAGAAGAAGAAGAAGAAGAAGAAGAAGAAGAAGAAGAAGAAGAAGAAGAAGAAGAAGAAGAAGAAGAAGAAGAAGAAGAAGAAGAAGAAGAAGAAGAAGAAGAAGAAGAAGAAGAAGAAGAAGAAGAAGAAGAAGAAGAAGAAGAAAAGAAGTGCTAGTAAACAACTACAGGTTCATTGCAACAGATATGTACATGTACTGTATCTTTTATAAATTGTATACTGTCAAAACCAGTCTCTTTTCCATGGTAGGACTCTCAGACTATTGACCGACAGCGATCCTTTTTTTCTTCTTCTAAACAACCAGGTGCGGAAACCGAATCCTAGTACGATGAGGATGTAGCGCAATTTACTGGGATACAAAAGAGCTAAATACAACATAAAATGTAATTAGACAGCTCAAAGAAGGGATTGGAAAATGCATGCTCATGTACAAGTCAACGTTTCGACCAAAGTCTTTGTCCCCGGTATACTAAGTTCAAGACAAACTGTGAACAGAAAACTCAAGGGATAAGACAAGAGGGCCTTAACAACCAAGGTCAAGATGACCCCAAAAAAAAAAAAAAAAACATTGGGGAAAATAATTTTGATATAAAGGGCTATATAACGAAACAAAATAAGTAAGTAGGTGGTTGAAACAAGAGGGGGAGAAATATAAATACGTTAAATAAATAAACAAATATATAAATAAAAAGAGTTATATTAACAATTGCTTGGAATAGAAAGAATTACTTTGAAAAATTATTAAAATGCAACGAATCACATTAACATAGTCTCATGATAGAAGGATTAACAATAACACATGGATATCTGCAATTCTCATCTGGTGGCAATATAACAGGAACACACACACACAAACCACACATATAATCACACATACTGAGAAGGGAACTGGAGAGTGAAGTTACAAAGATATGAAGTACTTGGCTTGGTTAAGGGGCTATGGTCCATTGAGCGATAAAGGTTAAGGTTAGTTGCGTATTTTTACTGGACGTTGCAGAACCAACCCCAGCATTTTTTTGGCTGTTGTGGGTTTTCTATGCAGTAGTTTGCCATTGCTTACTTAACTGTCGGCTTCTCGGTACCACTATCGAAACCAACGCAAGACAAACAGCCCGAAGCTGGGATCGAACCCAGCACCATGGCATTATAAAGCGTGTTCACAACGCCTAAGTCACAGACGCCGACGGGGGGTGAAGGAAAGAAGCACATGTTCTCACCTGGTTTTGTTTGATTTCTCTTGATCGTCATCCAGCGGAATGGTTTTCCCTGGACACCGTACTGACTGACGCAGCCGTCGGACTTCAATGGCGGCGGTGGTGGCGACGATGTGGCCAGGTATCCGTTGGACATTCCACCAGATGGGTTCACATACTGAGGAGATTCTTGGCCACTAGCTGGGTATTTCCCGGTGTCAGCGGAAAGACCCGATGCCCCGTATCCTGACCTCGCTGGAATTTCTAGAAAGTTTGGAGCCGAACTTAAAATTGGATGTTGACCATTATGTGGGGATGCTCCATTATCCGTGGTCATCGAATGACCATGACTGGTGTATGTAGGGCGGGTACAGTGTCCGATGGAGATAGAACTACGATTGTAGGCGGCACCTTGATGATGGGCTTCAGTGTGATAGTCATCCGAGTGGTTGTGATGCGAGGAGTCCGAGGTGTGCTGGTAGCTTTGATAATGTCCTCTATTAGAACTTCTACCGCTGATAACCGAACCGTAACCGGGAACTTGTTGAAGCGATCCACCGGAGCATAACTTGTGATCTCCGTGGGTTCTCAATTGTGCAGGCATGGACGAATCGTCGCTGTAGTAAGATGCAGTACATACGAGACTGCTGTCAGGATTTAACCGGTGGTTGTTGTTATTCTGAAACTCGTAAACACCGGCACCACAGATGTACGCCTGGTGGTAGCTGTCGTAGGAATCCAAATTACACAATGTGTAATCGGTTTCACAATTCATGTTACACGTATGACACAGTAAGTTAAACTTCTAACACTGTAGCATACACTACTTATTTTGGTTTCGTAAATAGTGTTAGTCATGAATGAAAATGCTCACTCCTTATTAAAACACGTATTAAATAACTGTGTATGTGATCCGTTAGGAATCAAAATAACTAAAAGAAAATATACGCGACAAAGAAAGTAAATGTTGCCTTCCAATCTGTTTACATATAAATAGCAGTTGTCTCTTCTCTCCAAAACGTCTCCTCTTTGAAAATTGTCACTCCTCATCGAAAAGTCACCAGAAAGTTTCCTTACCGAAAAATCTCACCGAAAAAGTTGTTTTATTGCATGAGTTGAGAAATTGTGTCTGTGGCATAGTGGGTTGCGAAAAGGCTTCGTAATTCAAAGATGCTTTGTTATTCCAGCTGTGTGAGATTTAGCAGCAGATCGCCTTGCATTGGTTTCCATAGTGGTATCGCGAACCGACTGTTTAGCAGCAATGGCAAACTACTGACCGTAACAACTTCGTAATGAAATTTCAAACAGTGAAAAAAATGCTCCGGTTGCTTCTGCTAAGACTTGAAATTTATTTTTTTTAAATTTTGTTTTTATTTAGTAAGAACCTTAACAAATCAAAAACAATTGCAAGAAAGAAAACAAAACACGGCCGAAAGGATAACAGAACAGAAACTCATGCGGAAACTTTACAGCGGAAGAGATTTTCTTGGTTAAGTTTAGTATATATGTTTACGTATAAACATAACTTCTCTCTCCTTATTGAAACGTGTTGTTAATTCTTGTCGATGTGATCCGTTTCGAATCAAAACAATCGAAAGAAACAAACGCAGCAGAAGGGACATCATAACAGAAACGCAGGCGGGGACCTTACAGCGGGAGCGACCAATCGGATCGCGCTGGGTGCGAGGGTGGAGACATCCGCTAGATTGATGGATAAGAAAATCGCTAGGAAGAAATAGGCCCTTTCAGACGGAGCTTCCAGTTACGGCACGGCCAAGGGGACATAGCTACCCGGTCCATCACAATTATCGTGGAAATTTGTCAAATGCATTATCCACTTCGTGTTGCCACCAAGGATAGCGTGTAATTATGTGGATTCAACACGTCGACGTCTCACACCAGCAGGAAGTAAGTGTTTTCAGTGCTTGTTATTCAAGTTAGTGAGCGTGTTTGTTCGTCGATAAGCTAGCTATAAGGTAAACTGTAAGAGGCCTCTCAGGTATAGGGTATGTGATACTAGGCTCGTATTCTCATAAGCCAATCAATGAATGATGTCAACACAACGGCGGTGGCCGCATTTACTCCCATGACATTTCCTGGTTCCCATTTTAGGTTAGGACGATCTAGAAATCAAAAGCATTATTTTTAAAATCCTTACGGTATAGATTCGAATCAGTGCTGAATTTGAGCATATTCTAACAAAATTACAGCTGAGAGCCTCACACTCTGCCAGGGCATCAATACATTCTTATTTTGCTTAAAAAAATGCAGTTTTCTTGTAATAAGGGATTACCGAATATGATTTACGTGATGTTACAGACACATTCTTTATTGTTTCCTTTAAATTGTGAGGTGGGCACATCAAAATAAAGACACTTCAATGCTTACATCTGATGCTGCACAGTAGAGGAGATGCTCAAGGTACTTTAAAGATATTTTAAATAGACCAAGTAATAAAGAACCAATGGATTTTGATGAAGGGACAGGAATGCCTACCTTGTCAAGAAACGGAGGACAAGGAAATGTCACAGAAAAAAAAAAGGCAATGAATTCTTGAGCACATCATAGTCAGGAGGTGATGATATTACTGCAGAAATATCCGAGGTGGCAAATATGACCATGAATCGAGAGAAATCCAAATATCAACATTAAAAAAAAAATGATTACCTAATAATTTATCATCATTATCATGATAAACCACATCTGCCGTTAAGCGCCGTGGGAAGGAATAATTTGCGATCCAGTGCACGCTGGCTTCCACTGGCTATTGTCATGCCGTGAAGGAGTAGAGTGTCCTTAATGTTGTCGATCCATGATTTCAGCGGCTGTCCTCTTGCTCTTGAAGCTGATCTTCAGAGATGTAGTTCTAGTTATGGTATTTGATCTTGCTGCATTCTAACGAGATGGCCAAACCACTGATCTGCTGTTTCTCGATGAATCTAGTACAAGGTGTCGTTCCCACAGTTTGTCTGACAGTTTTATTATTCACTCGATCTCAGATGGTTAAGTTGGCTGCCTTTCTCAGGCATCTCATGTCGCAGATGGTGACTTTGCGTATGTGGGCTTTAGATAGTGTCCATGTTTGGCACTGGTAGATTAATGTTGGAATGAATATGCTGTTTATAATCTGTCTCTTTGCGCTCATACTTATGCTTGGATGTCTTAATAATGGTGACGATTGGTATATAAGTGCACTTGCTTTCTGACATTTATTTTCTATTTCTCTGTCAATTCAATTATGTCTTCCGTGATCATACTTCCTAGATATTCAAACTCCCTGACCTGATTCAGGGCAGAACCATTCAGCTGTATGTGTAGTGGGCCACGGGCTCTACTAACTTGCATTGTTTCGGTTTTGCTTGCTTTGATCTTCATGTTGTATTTACTACATGCTGAGTTTAACCTGTTAATGTGGTCTTGCGGTCTATCTTCTTCTGTGTAGAACAAGCACTGGTCGTCAGCAAATAGTAGTTCGTTTAATGTGGGTGCATCGATTACTTCTTCTGATGTGTGTACTTCCTCATGATTATAAAGATCTATGTGGTCTGTATCAGAACTTGCTTCTTTAAATATTCTGTCTATATAAAAGTTAAATAAAAGTGGGGAGAGCACACGTTACATTCATAAACAGGAACTGTTGTCGCCAAATCTCTGATACTGCTAGGGAAACATGTGTTGCAGACAAGCTCAGAGATTAGGAGACAGTGTCTGTCGGCCGTTTGGTTTTCCTCCAGTCTGCAGTTGTATAAATCAAAAGCTTACGGCAACTTTTCTAGGCATCGGTTTGTCTGAGGGCGGGAGGGTGGGGGGGGGGGGGGTGGTTTTGGTCTCGAGGCATGGTGTCCCCCTCGAGTGCTAGAGGTTTCGGGTTTAATCCCCGCTAAGGGCTGGGATTTTTTCACGTGGACTTGGACTTCTATCTACTCAAGGTATTTCAGAATCCTGGCCGGTGCTACAGAGCCTGTGCACTATCCTGAGCTTTTTCGGACTCAGACTTGAGCTAGAAGAAGAACGGAGCACTTATGGGTTACTACTCGTGCGTCATGATGTTGATCCGTTGTTCCAATCTCTAAACCTTCTTAGTCTGAGGGCGGAATCTTAGACTCACTTAACCAATGAGGCACCGTCTCCAACCGTCTCTTGTGTTGTTTTTACACTCTCTCAGACTGCTTTCGTCAATCTTTTGACGTAGTCTCTCTCTCTCTCTCTCTCCCCCCCACCCCCTGTAACGTTGTCACCTCTTGCTTTCTTGCCCAGATCTGTCTCTGGTATGGTTTTCAAAAGCAAGTTAAAACTCGATGAGTGACATCATGCCGACCGCCTTTACTTTCCAAGGTTGATCTGGAAGGCTGATTCTATTATTTAAAATCCATCTTGACTCTAATTTGAATGAAAGATCATCTGAAGTTGCGGCCTCCGTGGCTTAGGCGTTGCGAGTCCGACTCGTAATTCCAATGTACCGCGATCGAAACCTACTGCTTGCTGCGTGAATTTTTATCTATTCCCATATGCCCGATGCGCACAAGGCGTGAAAAGGGATCTGTACTTTACTATCTTACTTCGAAAGTTAAATAGTATTTATTAATGAATTAATTAATTGTGCAACATGCTTGGGTCTAGCCATTCCAATTTAAAAGATGTTACATTCCTGATCACATTTCACTTGCTAATTTCGCCCCTTCCAATACGGTTATTGAATATTCAAAATGGCTCGCGGTGTGATGGGAAGGGGTGTTTCCCATCCATGAACAAAATGTTGATACTTTGTATTGCAGTTTACAGTTAGGCTGCGATATCTGCGCCTTTTGGCCTAACTCAACAGATTTCAGCAAGCACTATTACGGGCTGCGTGTTAGTGGGCAGCACCATATCACACACACACACACACACACGCACGCGTACACTCACACACGCACACACATAGACACATACAAACACACAGCCACAGACACACAGAGACACACACAGACACAGACACACACACAGACACACACAGACACACACATAGACACACACATACAGACACACACACACAGTCGCACACACACACAGAGTCACACACACACACCCACGCATCCCCCACACTTCCCCACAGACACACACACAGGCACACACACAGTCACACACACAGATACACACACAGACACATACATACAGACACACATACAGACACACATACAGACACACATACAGACACACATATAGACACACACACAGTCACACACACACACATGCACTCTTTTCCCCTACACACAGACACACAACCACACAGTCACACACACACCCACGCACCCCTAGCCTCCACTACACACACACACAGTCACACACACACCCACGCACCCCTAGCCTCCACTACACACACACACAGTCACACACACACCCACGCACCCCTAGCCTCCACTACACACACACAGTCACACACACAGAAACACACACAGACACACACATGCACCCACTCCACACACAGACACACAACCACACACACAGTCATACACACACCCACGCACCTCCACTCTCTACCACACACACACACACACAGGGCTCAAGAACGCGCAGATAAATCAGCGGAGTCTTCATCTTCTCGTAGATCGAACTTCAAACTCCAGCTGAAAGGTCTGGTTGCTCGTCCACCTCTTGACTTTGGTCTTGTTCCAAAACTTGATTTTCGAATGCACATCCGTTTTGCAGATATGGCCCATTTGTATCAAGGCTACTAGTTCACTTCTCTAGCAGACGCACTCCGATTTCAATAGAAACACCCTAATCCCCCACACCCCCCCCCCCCAAAAAAAAAAACCCACACCACACAATAAGGCCCCGGATAGCACAGTGGGAAATCAAATGTGTGAATACTTATATGTTACAGACACGAGATATGACGTTACTGAACTGAATGTTTCCATTCTACTAGGGCCTTATCCAACTATTAGATATTGTGGTACTTAAGAATAGGAAGGAAAAAAAAAAAAAGGGGGGGGGGGTGGTTTCCTTGAATGTCAAGAAAACAGAAACAATGTTTATATCAAAGAAGAAGATAACTCCAAAATGTGACATAGTAACATAAGAGATAGTGATTAACGAAGTCAAAAAATTCAAGTTTTTGGGGACATTCATAACATCAGATGGACGATGTGTGACAGAAATTAAGAGCAAAATTGGCCAGGCAAAGACAGTGTTTCAGAAGATGAAAGGTACCTTATGTAATAAATCAGTCTCAGTACACATCAGAAAACGAATACTGAAATGCTACATCGAACCTGTTCTGTTGTATGGCAGTCAATCTTGGAATGTGAGCAAACAAATTAGGAAAAGTTTGGAGGCAACTGAGATGTGGTTCTTGAGAAGAATGTTGCGAATACTTTGGACGACCAGAATCATTAACAGTGGTTGCCTGGAAATGTCTAATGAAAGTAGGACATTTTATACAACAGTGAGAAGGAAACATACAAAGTTCTTTGGTCATGTGATGAGAAACGGAGCACTGAAAAAATATCGTGACCACTGAAAGATCACTGGTAGAAGAGGCAAAGGCAGAGCAAGAGAAATTATGGGGGGGGGGGGGAGAGGGGGTGGCTTAAGACAGTGGCATGGAGGAATACCAATAATAGAATTCATCCAGAACACCAAAGCCCGGGATCTGTGGAGATGCATGAGCGTCTACGCCAACTGGCAAGGCACTTGATGATGATGTGCGCTTGATCTCTTTAAAAAAAAATTACGTCATATTTCCACTAAATACTCTTTCTCGAAAGCTGAAATATTTTGGTCATATTAGGCGCCACTACGGATTGGAAAAAAACTATAGCAGAAGGCATGGTACTAGGAAGGAGGGGCAGAGGCCGATCGACACAAAGATGGGTACAGGATATAAGTGACTCCTTGAGTGTGAAAGTTCATGAGGCGGGAGAACTGGCAAGAGACCGAGTTTCATACAGACAGACTGTGATGAGAGCGACGTTCTGCAAAGGACCTGCTACATGATGATGACTCTTTAAAAAAAATATCACAAATTCATTTTACCCCTGCTCCATATTTTTTAACATGCCCAGCAAGCATGCCGTAAGAGTCGACTAACTGGGAGCTTCCTTCGAAGTCGGAGTGCATCTGCCTCTGTGTGTGCCCTCTCTTCTCTAAAAATCAGACTTCTGTTTGACCTGGCCGCGCCTGTGTATCTAGGTTAACCATTACAAAGAAATAAAGTTAGTTGCGTATCCTTTACTCGACGTTGGAGAACCAACTCCAGCATTTTTTAGCTGTTGTGGTTTTTTTCTTGGCTAATTTTACGTCCAGAAGTTTGCCATTAACGGTCGGCTTCTCGATACCACTGTTGAACTCAAGGCAAGGCGCAAGGCCCGCAGCTGGGATCTAGCCCAGCATCTCGGCATTACGAAGCTCGTTCGCAACGCCTAAGCCACAGACACCGACACAAAGAGATTACACTTTTTATTATTGTATAAAAAATTTATATTGGGAAACGAACGAACCGAAATAGCAGGTGGGCGGTGTCTTGTGTAAGTTATGAAGTGAATGGTAGGTTATATTTTTATTACATATATATTGATTTGTATAGGTAATGCACGTGATATAAGTCACAAGACTCATTAAACAAAGAAGTAGATAGTATAAGTTATGCTTTTGTACATTAACCACGGTCACAGAGACCCATAGAGTGTGTGTATGCTAGTTATATTTATAATTATCTAATTTAAATCATATTCTTATTTTCGTAGCCATGCAAACTACCTCGTTGAATAACTGTTGAAAATGCAACCCAGCGAAACACTCATACCTCATTCAAATACGTTATTACTAAACCATGATGTTAATATTTACGTACAAAATAATGCTTAGGACTGCCTAGTACACATAATTAAATCTTAATTTATCTATTACTGCTTTAATAAAGTTTTTTTTTACACCTTCGTTTTCTACGGTTTTTTTTTTTTTTTTTCAAATCGACTATATCTCTGTATACTTTTACGAAAACACATACTAAAAAATATTGTTAATATATCATATGTGTAAAGTACTTTTAGTATAGTTACATCTAGTCCCCTTAGGTAACTTCACATAAATTAACAAAGGGGGAACCATTGAGGCCGTTAAATATTATATATTAATAAAGCAACAGAAAATGTATTGATAATAGGTACTCATAGAGAGAAGTAGAAAGATAGAAGAACACCCTGAACACCTCTTGGTAACTTATGTTTACATTGTATGTTATTAGGATACTTTCAGGAGATGTTGTAGTAATTTTAATAAAGGTGTCCTGTTCAACAGCTTTGTATTTTAGGCTAAAGTGTTATTCGTTTTACATATTTGATATTTATGTTTTCAATACTTTTAGACATTTAACATTTATAATATTTAATATATTACACATTTTAAATATAAACGATTATATTTATAGATTTTATGAGTTAATTTTAAAGTAATATTGCAGTTATCATATTTTGTTATCCATCTCTGGGCATATTTTATTTAAAAGCAAAGGACCCACTTCCAAACCTTAGGGTGTATTGGACATGCAGGGACCTATATTTTATAGGCCAAAGGCACTTGGTGGATTAGGTGGTCAGCACCACGCCGGCTGCATTTATTTCCCAAGACTTTACCGGGTACCCACTCAAGGCTTGGCCAACAGGGAAGCCAGGTCATTTTTGAAAAAAGTCAAGCTCCGCTAGGACCCAAATCCATGACCTTCTAATCCGCAGGCAAGCGTCTAGTAGCTACACCACCTTAGCGGTTGCTTCTGAGAGTATATATTAGTTAATTTATATATTTTGCGATTATTTATTAGGAATAAATAGTAATATGTGTTGTTTCAAATATTGCTTTGATGTGAGATGTGATATAATTGCACTGTGAATATTTAGATAATCTTACTAAAATTGTGTCTTAAAATGGAGGATTTGATATGCTGTTAGTATAACTGTTGATTATCTTCGCTGACTATAACTTTAGGAGAAAGCCCTTCAAGTATGGCATGGGCATTTTGTATATATTATCTGATAAGCTGCTTCTTCTTAATTTTGTTTGCAAAAAAACTGAAAAGGCTTTTATTGTTCATATCTACTATTGTCTTCTTTTCAGCAGTTCAAACCCTTGAGGTTCATTGCTGCGGATATCACCCGCCTCGGTTCATCTCTATTTTTTGTCTTCTCTTTTCAGTAAGTGACTTCAAATGTTTGTAGGTATGACCTTTGCATCTAAATAGATAGAAAATGCAGACAAGAAAGTCTGGCCGCTGTGGAGGCAGAAGTGCAAGCTTTGATCTTCGAGAATTCTCTACAGGGGGATGCTGTCATTTACACAAATGTATCTGTGGTTCACTGTGTGAAAAGCTTGTGGGCTTTTAATGGCTCAGGTTGGAGTTAGAACTGTGAAGCAAGATTCTGGTGCTGTTGCCTTGACCACAAGTAGCATGACTAAGTAAGTCATGGCAGTGACCAAAGCAATAATGTGGCTGGAGACACAGACCTTTTCCTGCACATACTTTCTCAGCGACTAAATGAGTTGCTCAGGAAGATAGAGATGGACTGGGTCCGAAGACAGTGGTTGTAATCTCTGAAATGGTGTGGTTAACGCATATCAGTTTCATATTCATGCAAGAGTATGCAGGCGTGTAAGGAAATTAGCAAGTTGATAGGCTTGCAGGTAAAGCTGCTGTGGAGAATAGACAAACCATTGACCAGACCAATATTTTGAATGCTCTGCGAGAAGTAAGATGTTTGTGAGAACCAAGTAATGACTGTAATTCTGCAACCATGATCAGACTGTAAAAACAACATATTAAAAGGGGTGTGGTCAGACAAGAACACTATGCAGGAAGCCAAAGAAGAATAAGAAACCAACACAGAACGGGTGTCGTCAGCCACTACAGGCTGCAGGATTTACTGCAGAGGGCATCCAACCACTCATATGCTGAATGTTAAATGTGTAGTGAGGATAATCTGTTGACTAACTGACTGACTGACCAACTGACTAACTAACTAAGTGTTTGTAGGTCTGTTTATAAATATTATCTCTCCATCATCTTCTTGGTCTACCTCATAGTTTTCTTCTAGTCACCTCTTTTGTGTAGACTAATTTGATCTCTCTGCTGTCTGCCATTCTCTCTATATGTCTCAAACATTGCGGCCTATTCACTTTTATGCTACTAGTGATTCATTGTTATTTAAACAGATTATGAATTGTTCCTTTAAATATTCCAACTTTTTTGTTCCCAACTTTTTACATATTTTACTTTCATTTCAGGAAATAACTGGAACTCTTTTCCAAAGAAGCACTGAAGTTTGATTTCATCTGAAAGTATCAGTGTTAGAGAACATGATTTCCCGAATCATGTTTGGCTTTCTTCTCTTGCACTGTTGCCTTGTACCAGTGGCCAGTTTTACCTTTGATATAAAATTTAGTGACTCAGATGTACGAGGAAATTTCAACCACTTCTGGAGGAGTACAGGCTTTTGGTAATATATTGTCTTGTTTTTTTTAATAATCTAATGCTTTTGTGGGGAACATCAGCCTGTAGGCCATTAATGCCCACAGAAATCACTCTGCCAGCCATTAATGCCAACAAAAATCACTCTGCAGGCTATTAATACCCACAGAAATCACTCTGCCAGCCATTAATGCCAACAAAAATCACTCTGCAGGCCATTAATGCCCACATAAATCACTCTGCAGGCTATTAATGCCCACATAAATCACTCTGCCAGCCATTAATGCCAACAAAAATCACTCTGCAGGCTATTAATACCCACAGAAATCACTCTGCCAGCCATTAATGCCAACAAAAATCACTCTGCAGGCCATTAATGCCCACATAAATCACTCTGCAGGCTATTAATGCCCACATAAATCACCCTGCAGGCTATTAATGCCCACATAAATCACCCTGCAGGCTATTAATGCCCACATAAATCACCCTGCAGGCTATTAATGCCCACATAAATCACCCTGCAGGCCATTAATGCCCACATAAATCACCCTGCAGGCTATTAATGCCCACATAAATCACCCTGCAGGCTATTAATGCCCACATAAATCACTCTGCAGGCTATTAATGCCCACATAAATCACCCTGCAGGCCATTAATGCCCACATAAATCACTCTGCAGGCCATTAATGCCCACATAAATCACTCTGCAGGCTAATAATGCCCACATAAATCACCCTGCAGGCTATTAATGCCCACATAAATCACTCTGCAGGCTATTAATGCCCACATAAATCACTCTGCAGGCTATTAATGCCCACATAAATCACTCTGCAGGCTATTAATGCCCACATAAATCACTCTGCAGGCTATTAATGCCCACATAAATCACCCTGCAGGCTATTAATGCCCACATAAATCACCCTGCAGGCTATTAATGCCCACATAAATCACTCTGCAGGCTATTAATGCCCACATAAATCACCCTGCAGGCCATTAATGCCCACATAAATCACTCTGCAGGCTATTAATGCCCACATAAATCACCCTGCAGGCTATTAATGCCCACATAAATCACCCTGCAGGCTATTAATGCCCACATAAATCACTCTGCAGGCTATTAATGCCCACATAAATCACCCTGCAGGCCATTAATGCCCACATAAATCACTCTGCAGGCTATTAATGCCCACATAAATCACCCTGCAGAGGCAACCACATTCAAAAGTGTGACCAAATACAGCAGACTATTTTTTTAAAGCTGATAATGTTGTATGGTCCATAAATAATGTTATAGATTTGAAGAAAGAAGTTAAACAATAAATAGTGCAATTTATTCTCTGGAATAGTTTGCTGTATTTCCTCAGGTAAATGTGATGAGAGATTTGCATCCAATGAGGTACAACAAAATATGGCAGGAAATAAACTGTGCAACTGCTTATTTGTGAATTTTTTGTTAAAATTTACAACATGGAAACATTGCTTTGATGTCATAAAGGTCCAAATGACCCTAGGAAGAAAAAAAGAGTTTTTGACTTCTGGTCAAATGGGTATTATAAAATGTAATGGAAAAAAAAAAGTTATAATGTGACATTTTTTATAGCGGAAACACATTAAACATATGATGCCAAACTCACAGTTCTGTAGACTAATCGGTACTCTGTGGAATATGTAGTCAACGTAACACCAGCCGCATTTACTTCCCAGAACAGTTCTTTGTACCCATTTTAGGCTAGGCTGACGTAGGAGCCAAGGTTAGTTTTAAAACAAAATGTAAGCAAAACGCAGACATACAGTCCAATCTATCAAAGTCTTTATCAGTGGATGAAAATAGTTTTCTTTTTCTGTCCTTATGTTTTACTACCATGTATTTTTAGTGATTAGGTACTGAGCTACAGTACAACAGTATTTGGTACAACTTGTCTTCTGTTAATGCAGAATGCTGGGCAGCATAAACCAAACCTGAGTTCCACATTGTGCCAAAGGCTTGGGGAGCGCACAGAGGAAGATAATGGACTTATCCTAGGAAGAGGAAATGCAGCCTGAAAACTATGTTATAGTAGGGCAGACCAGGCTCCTAGCCTTGACTGGAAACTGATCTAGGAGGGAAGCTCTGACAGGTGGACAGATGGAGCACTGCTCTTCTGATCACGCAGCTTCTGCAGCCTGCTTTATTTCTGAAGTACTGATGTTACCTTTCCTTTGGAGTAAACAAGGCAGGTCAACAGAGGGATGATGATGCATGAGAAACATATGGTCTCTACAATACTGCCTTGGCTTTGTGCTATGGAGGGGGAGCTTTTGTCCCATGTATCCTCATGGCACAATATAACAGTATCATTGGTAAATACATACAGCAATGACAGACTCCACTGTAAATATCACTTAAAAAAACAACAGCTGGGCAACAGAACTGTACTTTCATTTCTCATATTGGTCCCTGTGTGGGTCCTGGGACCCTATTGCAGGGAAAACAAGAATAGACCCACTGCCTACCCAAAAGCATTTATTAGGAGTCGACTAATTGGGAGCTTCCTTTGAAGTCAGAGTACATCTGCCTGGGAGGCAAGGAACCAACAGTCTGCACACAAGGGAGTCAGATCTGTCAAACAGATGTGCATGCAACACTCAGGTTTGGAAACAGGACTGCAGTCCAGAAGTAGACGAACAACAAAAACTTTCTGCCGGAGTTTACAGCCGGTGAACGCAAAGAAGAAAATAAGAAGATTTCTCATGTGCGGATAAATGTGACAGCAAAGCATGGTCAAAAGCAAATAACATGTCAAGAATTTAATGATCGGTCAGCCTTTCTGCCACAATGAATCAAAAGAGAAAAAAAGTAGAGGACCAGTATTTGTTTTCTCACTATCACTTAGCATATTTTTTCCACTTCTGTTTGCAGTCCACCATTTCTTCACATAGAAGCTAGAACATTTCTTCTGAGTCTAGACGTGAGGCAGAATTTGGCTTATATTATGAAGGACAGATTAGACAGAATACTTATTAATAACAATAGGGAAAAAGATTTCTCCAATTACTAAATAGAATATGAAATAGAATGTGAAATGCGATGTCTCCGAAGAGTCACCAACAATACACGAAGAGACAGAGTCACAAACGTCAGCATTAGAGACAAAGTTGGAACAAGAGCATGCATGGAACATATTGAAAGACAGAGAATGAAGTGGTTTGGCCATTTAGTAAGAATGCAACCGGATCAGATTGCCTATAAGGCCTTTTACAGTAGAACATCGGGAAGAAAGGCCAGAGGAAGACCCAGGAAAAAATGGTTAGATGGAGTAGCTGAATACGGCCAGAAGATCCAGAAAACTGTCACTCAAATCACGCGAGAGGCACAAAACAAATATTTTAAACCACGACACTGGGCTGCAACCTGGTAAAAGTGAAGAAGACAATAGATAGACTAAATAGAATAAACCAAGTCACCATCTTTCCCTTATGCACTGGCCATTGCAGACTCAACAAACACTAATACAAATTAGGTATGAGCCAAACTGCATTTTTGCCAGTGTCTTCATGCTGAACAGACCACAGAACAAATCCTGCAGAACTGTCCTCTCCTGGAGCAGCTGCCATACAACATGTGGCCACTTCAGAGCTTTGGGGAAAACTTGAAAGACCTTGAGCTGACATCCCAGTTTATGACCCAATATTTGTTTTCTTACTGTTAGTTAGCATTTTTAAATTTCTGTTTGCAGTCCTCCATTTCCTCACACAGAAGCTGGAACCTTTAATTTGAGCCCGGACATGAAGCAGAATTTAGCTTATATTAGTGCTGTTCCTAATGATGGTATTACACAGGTCAGAGTTCACTGGCTTTTTGAGCTTGTGAAAGTAAATGGGTAAGTTCAGTAAGAAAAGTTTAGTCTGTATGCTTACTTGTTTTCTCAATCGTTCTATTTCTTGTTCAGTCTGTCTCTTCTTTCTGTCTGTTTCCCTGTTCTCTCCCCTCCTTCCTTTCTTCCTCTGTCACTTTTTTCTGTTTAACAGTGTGTATTGTTATCCATGCTCCTTGTGTTATTGTTAAAATATGTACTGTAAATGTACTATAATGCAACTAGACCTGGACGCCAAATGTCTTTTCGTAATGAAGAACTCATTGCAAAATTCCAAGAACGGATACAAGAAGATCATTGTTCGACTGTGAGGATAATGATAAATGAATTTGGTGTTAATACAGAGACTATTTGTAAAATGTTAGTGGAAGATTTGGGCAAGAAAAAAGTTGCTTGCCGGTTTGTATTCAACACCTGTCAATTAGTTTTTTCTTCATGACATATGCACTGGCTCAAAGAGTGGTAGTTTTACAGGAATTTTTGGCCCCAAAACAAGTGCGTGTTCTCAACCATCCACCCTATTCCGCCGGATTTTTCTCCTGTGACTATTTTCTATTCTTAAAATTAAAGTTGCCACTGAAAGTTCGCTTCTTTGACGATATTGATGACATCCAAAGGGCCGTAACATCGACTTTAAGGGCCATAACAACAAAAGAACTACACAGATCGCTCCAGTGTTTGTTAAATGGTGCCACTTGCTGTATCAATGCACAAGAGGCATATTTTGAATAAAATACAGGTTGTATCTTCAACTGTTAATTATTTTAATTTTTATGGATTAAGTCTCATTACTTAATTGTCGGACCTTGTATTCTGGAGTGCCTGTCCAGACAGGTGTAGTTTTGAGTCTGCAATTTTGAAAACACCTACTATCACATTGGGATTGCGTCTCTTTTAGGATGAAATTTTTCATTATTTGAAGCCCCACCCTGGCTCTTGCCAGGGGCCGCAATATAGCCAGGCAATAAATATGGCCAATTGGCAGAACGCGGTTTCTGGGACCTCTCCACGGTGATCCTCATCCACATTGTGGCACATTGTGTCATAGGGTGTTTATTGTTTGTGTGATTTCCTGGTGGGCTAGAAAGTCAGTCAATCAAAACACTTACTAATTACTAAATTCTATTCACAGTTTTGTCAGTGGAGAGCCACAGTACAACTTCTCCCAGCTGGATGAGTTTGTGGCATTGGTGCATGAAAATGAGCTTCATTTAGGATTTGAACTAATGGGAAACCCATCAAATATTTACACAGATTTTGAGAACAATACTCAAGTTCACTGGTGGAAAAACCTAGTTACTCAGACTGCACAAAGATACATTGGTAGGTATAGAATGAATCAGTGAATGAATGTATGAATAAATTAGTAAATCAAGAGTGAATATAGGGTTCTCCATGGCGAAGTGGTCAAGCCGTTTGCCTTGCACTGTGAAGGTCGTGGGTTTGTTTCATGGCTGCGTCATTCAGTTCACGAGTGCGATTTTTACAGAGATCCCTGGGGATCATCACCGGAGCTAAAGAGTTTGTGCTGTGTGCAATACTCTCAGGCAAGCAGCTAGTCATTCTGTAAAGAGAGACCGAGCCATATGGGATAAAATCCAGTGCAATGAAGTCAATCCTCTCGACTTTAACTTTAAATTTAACTCTGTCCCATTCCTCAGTAGCGAGCGAAAAGTTGCCGTACCATTGGTGTAAGTTGCAACCTGATAGAATGTCTCTACCTATCAAAGAGGCAGATTGTACATTTATTGATAACTGTTATAAGAATTACCATATCACTTTTCTGCCCTTCAACATCTGCTAAAATCAAAGTGTCTGTCTCCCCACTCCAAGATCAAAATATATAAAACGTTGATAAGATCAGTTGTTTTATATGGCTCTGAAAGTTGGAGCACAACTAAAAGAGATGAAGCATTATTACAGGTTTTTGAAAACAGAGTCTTACGATGATTTTTGGACCCATCAAAGAGGCAAACAGCGGTGAATGGAGAGCAACAAGCAATAACAAAATTCATAATCTGTTTAAATTGCCACTGATCACTGGCATCATGAGAGCTAATAAACTGAAATGGTTGGGGCATATAGAAAGAATGTCAGATGACAGAGAAGTAAAAACTGTATACAAAAGGGAAATGAATGGTCATAGACCAGGAGGCAGACCAATAAGAAAATGGAGGGAAATTGTCCAGACAGACCTGCAAACTAGGGCTTTACTGAATATTCGCTTCGTATTCGCTTCGGGGCTGAATAGTGGACCTATTGACTATTCAGTATTCGGCCGAATAGTTGCGGTCGGGCCGAATACGAATAGTAGTTACCTTACACCCGCTTCTGCATACACGGCCTTAATACTGACAACATGGAACGACTGGTTTTGTTGAAAGCTAATGCAGCTTTTCTGCATTAACTAAGCTGTCAGTGACAATTTCCATCCAAGTTTAGTTACTTGTTATAATACTTAGGATTATTTCATTCCTAGTTATTAGTTACCACAGACTGACTGAAGGATGCAAAACATTAAATGTTTTTAAATGTTTACTAGTCTGTACGAATACTAACTAGACATGGAAAGAATATAAACTCCGGCCACATCCAAGTCGATAATTTGAAAATCAAATGAATGGAAACATATAAGTACTTGTGTGCAAACTTCACCTGCTCCAACATGCCGAGAGAAGATATACAATCTAGGAAACAATCTAGAAATAAGGTATACAATGCCCTTCAACATCTGCTAAAGTTAAAGTGTCTGTCTCGCAACACCAAGATCAAAATATATATAACATTGAAAAGAACATTCGTTTTATATGGCTCTGAAACTTGAAGCACAACTAAAAGAGATAAGCCTTATTACAAGTTTTCAAAAACAGTCTTACGAAAAATCTTTGGACCCATCAAAGATGCTAACAGTGGGGAATGGAGAGTGAGAAGCAACAACATAACACATAACCTGTTTAAATCACCAATGATCACTGGCATCATGAGAGCTAACAGACTAAAATGGTTGGGGCATACTGAAAGAATGTCAGATGACAGAGAAGTAAAAACTGTATACACCTGAGAGAGGAATGGGTGTAGACCATGAGGCAGACAAAAAATAAGTTCGAGAGATAATGTCCAGTCAAACCTGCAAACAACTGGTGTCACAAATTGTGAAGTGAAGGCCAGCCAGAGAGATGAATGGAGACGAGTGATATCTGCAGCAGTAAACCTCAAGGGCTCAGAATGCTAAAGAAGAAGATGACTATTCTGTGCTACTTTATGTGAAGTAAAATTTCAGTGTACATTTGGCATTATGAATGTGTTTTCTTTTTTTTAAAGATATATTTTATACACTATATACTATTCGTATTCGTATTTGGCTGAATAGTTGGTCCCATTATTCATATTCTGCCGAAAAGTGAAAATCACTATTTGGTATAGCCCTACTGCAAACACTTGGTGTCACTAACTGGAAAAAGAAGGCTAACCAGAGAGATGAATGGAGATAGGTGAGATCTGCAGCAATGAACCTCAAGGGCTCGGAATGCGGAAGTAGAAGAAGGAGAAGATATAAGTTTTCTGGAAATATCTATAGGTGTTTTGTATTTTGCACCAAATGTCCGAACCCTTTTGCCCGGTGACCTAGGGAGAAAAAATAATGCCAAGGATCTTAATTTTTTTGGGTAAAAAAATATATCTAAAAAGCCCCAGTCTGAAGAATCTCAGCTCAGCACCTTTGGTCATCCTAGAAACAGGTCTCGGGGGCTGAGTGGTCTCGAGGTTTGGTGTTGGCCTCAAGTGCTGGAGGTCCCTGGTTCAGGCCCCGGTGAAGGCTGAGATTTTTTCACATGGACTTTTAGTAATTTCCACTGGTCTCTTGGTATTAAGATCGTTCGCCTATGTGTAATCTTGCACATGTAAAAAATCTCTTGGCAGTTGTAAATTGAAAAGAGTAGCCTAATAGTGATGCCCGGGCAAAATTTGGAGTTAAAAATCTACTCAAAGTACTTCAGGATCTTTGCCAGTGCAACGGAGTTTGTGCATTGCCCCGAGATTCTTTAGACTCAGGCTTGAGTTAGAAGTAGAACTGAACACTTATGGGCTACACCTGTGTGCCGTGATGTTGATCCGTGAGTAAACAAACAAACAGAAACAGGTTTCCAGCTAAGGGCCTGGTCAGGGGAGATAAGACTGTCATTTACTTCAAAGTGAGATTGAGTCTGCCTCAGAGGCAAGAAACCAACAATCTGGCACACAAATAAGACAGATTTGTAAAATTAACATGCACACAAAACTCAAATATTGGAACAAAACTAAAGTCCAGAAGTGGTAAAATGACTAGGTTTTTCCACTGGAGTTTACAGCCATTAAACAAGAAGAAGAAGCAGGTGAAGGTGAAGAACAGCGACAACCCTACAGACAGCAAAAACACTTATGAGCTATAAGCAAAGAGACTTGGTTGAACAGATAGGCCATGGGAGACACTGGAAGGTTTATAGACATATGGCTGGCCCTGATCCTAATGACAGCATTAACCATCTAACAAGAAGGGACCAGGCCACCATCTTCAGACTTAGAACACAACACACTCCACTCAGTGGACATCTAAACAGAATACAGCCACAACACTCTCCAGAGTGCGAGCTATGTAACTACCCCTACAAAACTGTTGAACACCATCTCTTTGAGTGCCCAAAACTCAGCGAGATTAGAAGAATGCTACTCCCTCCGAGAAGTGGAACACCTTGTATGGAGGAAAAAACAGCTTGTGAAAACATGCAAATTCCACTACATGGCATTGGGCCAAAGGGCAAAAGCTCATGCGCCGCTGGATTGATAACAGCAACAACAACAACAACGAAGGTGAAGAAGAAGTTGAAGAAGGAGGAGGAGGAGAAGAAGGAGAAGTAGAAAAAGAAGAAGAAAATATTTCCCTGTAACAAGCTTTTATGTAACATTATAAATCTGTCTCTGCAACAATATAATTGTTCTATTTCAGGAAAGTATGGCATTGATTACATAAGGAAGTGGAACTTTGAATCATGGAATGAACCAGATTGCCATGACTTTGACAATCTGACAATGACAGTTCAAGGTAAACACAATGATGCTTTTATTTAGTATTCAATCAGATGAGTAACCAATCTATAATCAATCACTCACTCCATAAACCAATTAATAATCAAATGTGAAGCAGTAATTTAATTAATGAGTCATTCAATCAATCAGTCATTCAGTCAGTCAACAAGTTAGTCATTCAGTTAGTAAATTATTCAGTCAACCATTCAGTCAGTACATGAATCAACCAGTCAATCAGTCAGCCTACCAGTCGGTGAAGCACTCAACCAATTAATCGGTCAGTCATGCAGCAAATCAATCATTCAGTTAGTCAGTCAGTTAATTAACCAACCATTCATTCAATCGAGCCAGTCAGTCATCCAGTCAATCAACCATTCAATCAGTCATGTAATCAATCAACTAATTACTTATTCAGTCATTGAATCAACTAATCAGTCAACCAGCCATGAATCATTCAATCAGTAATACAGTAAACCCATCAGTCAGTTAATAAACCAGTCAGTCAACTTTTTAATCAGTCAGTTAGTCCATCAGTCAGTGCAATCAATCGGTCTGGTGCTGAATGTTTGTTGCATTGAATCTCCAATGCTGTGTCTTTTATTCTATGTCTACACTCTCTGACTTTTTGGGGGGTTTTTGTTTAAATCGGTCTCATTATGTTATTTTCCCCATTTGTGTAATTATCTTTATCTAACTTCTCTGTGTTTAAATTGTCTCTTGAGTTGAGTTGATTCAAGAATTGACATCACAGCACTCGGGGCATTTCCATGCGTGCTCCGTCCTCATCTCCAGCAGCCAGCGCAGAGCTCCAATACTGATGGTACCGGTCACATTCTGATTAAATGTCCGTATTGCCTTTCCTCTAAATGTAGTGAGCCGGCCAGACCCTCTGGTTACACCCAGGTGCCGCATTCTCTCCAGGCCATAATAATCTTTTTTCTCCACTGATTCTGTTGCTTGTTCCCAAAGGGCCTTGATCACATCTGCCTTGTCATGTATCAATTCACAACCCAGTGGTGCATATCCAGCCAATCTGTCTGCTTTATTACCCACTACTCCAGCATGGCCTGGAGAAATTGTTTCTCCAGTATGGATATTTCTGATTGTGTCTTCTGTCTGAACATTTGTCTGATTGTGTCTTTGGTCTGAACATTTGTCTGATTGTGTTTTCTGTCTGAACATTTGTCTGATTGTGTTTTCTGTCTGAACATTTGTCTAATTGTGTCTTCTGTCTGAACATTTTTTCTAATTGTGTCTTCTGTCTGAACATTTAGGTGGCTGAATATTCTGTCTGAACATTTGTCTGATTGTGTCTTTGGTCTGAACATTTGTCTGATTGTGTCTTCTGTCTGAACATTTGTCTAATTGTGTCTTCTGTCTGAACATTTGTCTAATTGTGTCTTCTGTCTGAACATGTGTCTAATTGTGTCTTCTGTCTGAACATTTGTCTAATTGTGTCTTCTGTCTGAACATTTAGGTGGCTGAATATTCTGTCTGAACATTTGTCTGATTGTGTCTTCTGTCTGAACATTTGTCTAATTGTGTCTTCTGTCTGAACATTTAGGTGGCTGAATATTCTGTCTGAACATTTGTCTAATTGTGTCTTCTGTCTGAACATTTGTCTGATTGTGTCTTTGGTCTGAACATTTGTCTGATTGTGGTTTCTGTCTGAACATTTGTCTGATTGTGTCTTTGGTCTGAACATTTGTCTGATTGTGGTTTCTGTCTGAACATTTGTCTAATTGTGTCTTCTGTCTGAACATTTGTCTGTTTGTGCTGTACCTGAAACTTACTTAAGGGGTCACTACACAAACATTTTTTTTCTCTTTATTTACAGTGTTAGACTAATTATTTTATAATGGTCATTTGTAGGGATATATGTTAATACATTTGCATACTTTGAGTTTGAAAAAAATCATAGTTACCAAGGCAATAGCTTCCATTTTGGAAAAAACTAACATGAACATAGAATCCTATCATGATAATGGATTCATTAACTTTAATCCTACATAGGGGTACAAGTTTTGTTTATTTACTTTGAAGATGTTTTTATTTTTCTTTGAATTTTAAAATGTGGGTTTGTTGAAAAAGTAACACACACACACAAATGTAGCATCATAAGACAATAATCAAATGTAAAAAATCAATAACTATCTTAAATCTACTTTTAAATAGACAGGTTGCGATAATGTTATTTGAGAAGTATCCACACCAAATTTCATGTTTCTAGCCCGTATAATAACTGAGATTTGAGGATTTTACACACACAATAAACAGAAATATAGAGATGTGAGAAAACTAACTTTTAAACTTTTTTATATCTTAAAAAAGTGCATGGGAAGGTGTCTTTAGTATTACCTTTTCAAGTTAAATTGTTTACAAATGACCTAAATTTTGCGTTTAATCTATTCTACAAATGCCGAAGTTTACAAACACGAACACTTTAAAAAAGTTATAATTTTGTCATAAATTGGAAAAAAGTGCTGTGTAGTGACCCCTTAACAACTTAGTAACAAGAATATAACATGTTAATATCAAAATAAACAATTGCATGTTTGTTTACAATTTAGGTTTCCTCAATTACTATGATGCCTGCTCAGAAGGGCTAATGTCAGTGGATCCAAGACTAGTACTGGGAGGTCCTGGTGATGCCTGCTTTACTGCAATGGTGTGTAATTTAAATATATTTGTTCATCTTCATTTTTGCCTAAGACTAAATGCAACTAGGCTTAATGTTAAATTGTTATGGGTAGTGAGTAAACTTTTAATCTTTTCTGCAGGCCATGTGGGCGTGGTGGGTAATGAACAAGCAGACAGATTAGCTGGATTTGCACCACTAGGTGGTGAATTTATACATGACAAGGCAGATGTGGTCAAGACCCTTTGGGAAAAAATAATGGAATTGATAGAAACAGAAGATTATTAGAGAGAATGAGGCATCTAGGCAAACCAGAGGGTCTTGCCGGCTCACTACACTCAGAGGAAATGCAAGATGGACATATAAATCCAGATTGTGACCACTACCATCGGTATTGGAACTCTGTGCTGGCTGCTGAAGATGAAGAAAGAGCATGCATGGGAATGCCCCGAGTGCTGTGATGTCAATTCTTGACTCAGCTTAACTCAACTCAATGTTATTCTTAAGCAAGTGAATAGGTAAAATAGTCTTGGAACAGTCATAAAATCTGATGCAAGATGTTGCAGAGATTAGAAAAAGAACTGTGATAGCAAAAGTGGCTTAGTAGCGAGATGCAAAAGATACTCACCAACAGAAAGATGTTAGCTGCAGTGAGAAAGAAAGTGTTCAGTTGTACATAGAACCTGTGTTGTTGTATGCATGTAAGACATGGAGAAAAAGTAGACAAGCTGAAAAATATTTACTCGCAGCTGAGATATGTGGGAGGCATGGGAGGCTAAGAACCAAGAAAACCAAACCTCCAGGGTGACCCAGGGTCCGCTGGGAAGACAACATCCGAAAAATCCCTGACAGAGGAATGGAATGGAACAAAGCCAGAAAGAAAACTGTTGATATAGACGTCTGGCGATCTCTCTAGCAAACCTTTACACCCCAAGGTAGAAGAGGAGCTACTAAGTATGTAGGAGATGTGGATTTAGAGAAGAATGCACAAATTATCATGATTATAGAAGAACAAATGGAGCAAACCTCATCAAGAGAGATGCCAGTCATTAATTGATTAGAACCATTAGTCATAGAGTCTGTATTATTTTGAAATGTTATGAAAAGGAATGGACCCCAGAAAATATTAACAATCGGGGTGGTGAATGGAAAGAGAGCAAGAGAAAGGCAAAGAGATAGATACCTGGATGACCCGGCCTCATGGAGGGGTGAGACATAAACATTGAGCTGATCTGTGATTCTGGTGATCATGTGAGATGGTGAAGGTGATGATAATTTAGTTTCTATTTTAAATGCAGATAGAAGATTATTAAAGCAGTTAAATGAAGAAAAGGTCAAATAAAGATATTTCACAAAAGCAAATATTCTAGACAGTCTATCATTGTTATTTGAGGAGAGAAAAAAGGGAAGAAAGAAAGAAAGAAAGAAAGTAAGGAAGAAAGAAAGAAAGAAAGAAAGAAAGAAAGAAAGAAAGAAAGAAAGAAAGAAAGAAAGAAAGAAAGAAAGAAAGAAAGAAAGAAAGAAAGAAAGAAAGAAAGAAAGAAAGAAAGAACAAAAGAACGAAAGAACGAAAGAAAGAAAGAATAAACAAACTTTCAGAGGGTCAAGAATTAGACATGCAGTCCTGTCTAACATTCTGCCATTTTAGTCTCACTCAGTACTTGCAGTTATTCATTTGTACATCATTTCATATTTGTACATCATTTCATATTTGTACATCATTTCATATTTGTACATCATTTCATATTTGTACATCATATTTGTATATCATTTCAAAATTGTACATCATTTCATATTTGTACATCATTTCATATTGTACATCATTTCATATTTGTACATCATTTCATATTTGTACATCGTTTCATATTTGTACATCATTTCATATTTGTACATCATTTCATATTTGTCCATCATTTCATATTTGTACATCATTTCATATTTGTACATCATTTCATATTTGTACATCATTTCATATTTGTCCATCATTTCATATTTGTCCATCATTTCATTTTTGTACATCATTTCATATTTGTACATCATTTCATATTTGTACATCAATTCATATTTGTACATAATTTCATATTGTACATCATTTCATATTTTACAACATTTCATATTTTGTACATCATTTCATAGGTAGTAATAAACATTTTTTGACATCTAAGTCTTAATTACAAATGCTGGAGTGGGCTCTAAATATAAAGAATTCTTTGCATTTCCAACTTTATAACAAAGATTTCACCCCATAGTTGCTCTGCTCTTGTGCGAGCAAAATCACAAAAAATATCCATCTCTGCCCCTTGTGAAAAGTTTCTCTGATGTTATCTTCCCATCTTGTTCTTGGTCTGCCTCTTGCTCTACGTTCCTCTCTTTTTTTGGTATATGCCTTAAATGGTATAGCATCGGGATGCATTCTCTCCAAGTGGGCAAACTATTTGATTTGCTGTCATGTTATTTAGAATTGGTTCTGTGCCGACTTATTCCTGATTTTATCTCTTCTGGTCACTCCTACAGTCTTTCTCAGACACCTCATTTCCTTGGTTACTAATTTTTCTTTTATGTTTTGTTGTGAGTGACCATGTCTGGCACTGGTAGCATAGGGTGGGAATAAATATGCTCTGTATGAGATGTCTCTCTGTGCTGATTGGGATTGCCTTATGCTGTAAGAAGAGGAGGGGGGTGGGAGGGCTAGCTGTCCCAATACTTGGTCTGTAGCATGTACATGCATTAAATGCAAAAGGCAGCCATCAGAAGTGCCAACACAAACAGTCAGACATTAGAACTAGGGTATTCTTCATAATGTTATGATATTGAGAGTTGTTAAGAGCCGTACAGAGTCAACTCTGATGTATAAAAGTGAATAATAATAGACAGCAAATTAGGGAGATGTTATCTGGAAGCTACAGAGATGTGGTTGTTTATAAGAGTAATGTGGATAGCATGGCCAGATTTAACAAAAAATTTAAAAAAAAAATAAAATTAACTCACATTTTAGATTCATCATCAGTTGCCTTGTTGACTGGCATGGGTGATCATGCCTCTCCAAAATCTGCGATCTTCAACATGTATGAGCTCTTGTGCTAACATCCCTCCATGCCATGGCATGGGTGATCATGCTTCTCCACAAACTGCGATCTTCAACATGTATGAGCTCTTGTGCTAACATCCCTCCATGCCATGGCATGGGTGATCATGCCTCTCCACAATCTGCGATCTTCAACATGTATGAGCTCTTGTGCTAACATCCCTCCATGCCATGACAAAAGTGTGTAAAGAAAAATCTTCTGTTTTCTTCCTCTGTCTCTTTTTTCCAGGAATTGTTACGATAGTCACAACATATTTCAGTTTTTCTTCTCATAATATGGACCCCCTCTCCCCACAAATGAAAATGATGACTGACTCTTTCTGATATTTGTGATAAGTTGTCTCTGAGCCCTCAACTCTTTCAAAACATCTGGATTGTTCTTTTTTGGCTATCCAAGGATTTGTAAGAATTCTTTAAAAATCACATCTTCCAAGCCTCAAGAAATTGTTTGGCTTGTTTATTAATTATCCAGGATATACAGTTGTATGTTCAGGATATACAGTTGTATGTTCAGGATATACAGTTGTATGTTCAGGATATACAGTTGTATGTTCAGGATATACAGTTGTATGTTAACACTGGCTCTATAAATCATGCAAGAATTATTTTTCTAACATGGATTTATTACATAAAATGTTCCTTTGTATGTATATTAAAGTCTTTGGACTGACTAACATGATGATGATGATGATGATGATGATATACAAAGTTATCTTTTGACAATTTCAGCAAATTTTTCATGAACACTGTTTGTTTGTAAACAGGGTACACCCCGATCAAAGTTTGCAGATGCATTTCTCAACCACACAGTTCATGGCACCAACTATTTCACAGGAGAGACCGGTGTCAGAGTGGACTTTCTCTCGTTTCATTTCAAGGTGAGTATAAATCCATGCAACAGCGCTGAGTTTATTGGGACTTTCGTCTACTTTTCTCTAACTTTCATTCAAGCAACAGTTTTACACTTGGGTTCCAGTAACCCACTTGGTGCTAAATCAATATTCTACCCCAAACAGGAAAAATCCACAGGTCACGGGAAAGTCTAATATTTCAGGGGGGTGGTAGATAGGCTGCATGAAGTCCTGGGACCTAGGCAACATGCATTTGTGGGATTTAGGCTGCACTCTTTTGTGGGACTTAGGTGGGTTGGGGTTAGACCCAGTTCTAGATATTCTGGGGTCGTTAAAAGCATCAGAAAGCCAGAAACCTAGTCTTACCACCCTCTAAAATCTTGGACTGTCCTGTGGCATAATCTGGGGTAAGATATTTTTAAAGAACCCCCCCCCCACCCCCCCCCCTCCATTTTGTGGGGAGCAAAGAAAAGACCCACTATGCCCCAGCGCAGCATGTCATAAAAAGGCAACCAGGAAGCGAGGAACTGTCTGCTTACAAATAACCAGATCTGTGAAACAGATTTGCACACAAAACTCAAGTTCTGGAATTAAACCTTAGTTGACGAACAACCAAAACTATCCACTGGTGTTTATCAAGTAAAAGCTTAAAAAAAAACAACAACACTCATGGGAAAGGTGAGATGGATGTACAGTCAGACAGTTACTGGTATCATCAGAATTAGAACTCTTTGCTTGCTGCTGAAGACGGGGACGGAGCGCTTATAGGGTGTCCCTAGTGCTATGATGTTGATTCTTAATTCAACATTCAGCGTAAAAGAAATAGAGACACATACAGTCTGTACACTTGAAGCAACAGCTGATTCACTTAGGCTCTTCAGTAGAACAGACTATACTGTAATGGATTTCAAGTCACTGGCTTGGAAAGGCAATGAAGTAGCCAACAAATTGGCCTGAAGTGACAGTGACATGATGAAATCAAATAGTAATTTAACCCACAAAGAGACAAAAACAATAATACAATCTAATATCCAAGAAAGGTGGCTGGATACGCACACCAAATTCTCTCCTCAAAACTCACTTCGTGGCCTCTCTAGAGACTAAGGACAGGGCACAACAAACTTAACCAGCAAACTTTTCAGTGTAGGAATCACAGGGTTGTGACCCCCCAGCAGCTTGGCACCAGTTATATGTCAACTGTATGCTGCCACCAGAGAAGCAGTCTGGCCCGTTCCAACAATAAGACAAAACTGTATGATACTCTAAAAGATTTGGACTGTATGATAGCTTTCCTAAACGCTACCAGTCTCCTGATATAAGTTTTGTGAGAGAAGGAGCAAAGAAGAAAAAGAAGGAAAACAAGAAAGAAATGCTTAGATCTGCTAGAGTTCCAGAGATGCTTTTAGGCAGAATATGTTAATGGTCAGTACCTCCAACGATGACTTTTCTTCTTCTTCTTCTTCTTCTTCTCTTCCACCTTTTACCTCATCGAAGTGTCGGGGGGAGATGTAATGTTCGTTGATGAGCTCTGTCAAGAGCACTATGAAGACTGATGTTCATTTCTGTAAGGATGTTCTTAATGCCATCACTCCATATTTTCTGAGGTCTTCCACTCGCTCTATACGGGTTGTAACGTTTTAGTGTGGCTCGCTGTGGCAGATAGTACCAGGGCATTCTTGTTAGGTGTCCAAACCACTTCATTTGTTGTTATTTGATGACATGTAACAGCGACTCTAAGGGATGCAATCTATTGTTTGTTTACGGTAACCGTAAGGGACAGAATTAATTGTTTGTGTGCTTTCACATAATAATTATCTTTAATAATTAATATTAATTTAGGTTTGGGTTAGGTTATGGTAACCTTAACCTCAAACAGTATTTAATATTAAAGATTATTATTATGTGCTTACAGAAATAATGGATTATGTCCCCTAGGGTTGGCATTTAAATTAGGATCCCCATCCCAATGTGGAATGAAAATTTTTTTTTTTTTTTAAGTTTTAAACCCCTACCTTGTCGGGGCCCCTAAATATAAACTACAGGTTGAGCGGGGTTTCTGGGACTTGTGCCCGCGTGATCCTCATCTGAATATTGGCATTTTGTGCTGCCTGGTGTTGGTCACTTGTTGTGTGATCCTGGTGAGCTTTAAAGTCAGACGGGCATTTAAAGTATTATCAACTTACAGTAGACTGCGTCCCTTAGGGTCGCCGTTTGAAGTTTTGCCAGTTAACAGAATAATGCAGACACAACTGGTTAACAAAATGTCTGTCTATGATGAAAGACAGCAAGAACATTTTTCCGTCTTTGGACTGGCCAGGGGTTGACATTTTTACTTTATCAAATTTAGCACATAAAAATATTGCTGTGAAACAGATACAAAAATGAACACCGTCCCTACAACTGCAAATGTGCATAAGAAGTAGATGAACAACCAGAAGTTTCTGCCAGAGTTTACAGCCAGTGTTCACGAAGCAAAAAATTCACAAAAATGAACACAGACCGTACAACTGCAAATGTGCATAAGAAGTAGATGAACAACCAGAAGTTTCTGCCAGAGTTTACAGCCAGTGTTCGCGAAGCAAAAAATTCACAAAAATGAACACAGACCGTACAACTGCAAATGTGCATAAGAAGTAGATGAACAACCAGAAGTTTCTGCCAGAGTTTACAGCCAGTGTTCGCGACGCAGAAAATTCACAAAAATGAACACAGACCGTACAACTGCAAATGTGCATAAGAAGTAGATGAACAACCAGAAGTTTTTGCCAGAATTTACAGCCAGTGTTCGCGAAGCAGAAAATTTATAAAAATAGTAATATTATTAGTGTACTTCTATAACATATAATTATACTGTTAGTCAACAATTAGTAAAGAGGCAAAGAGTGACTTGCTGTGAGAGAGTTAGTAAATAAAATGTTTTTATGCACTTACCCAGAGCTCCGAAATATCTTGACACAATTTATCCACAGTGTGGTTGCACCATTTATGCACAGTCAATATTAAAGCAATAGTTTTCTTCCAATACAAGATAGTTTGCACCTGACAACTGTCGATATTCTCCAGATATGGCTTATAAAATACCTATCTGTATTTTCTCCAAAAGTAAGATTTCTACATTCAAAGTAGAAAAAGAATAAACAGCCAGTTCCCAAAAATCCAAACTACTGACTAGAAACAGTGACACACACATCAAAACACGACTGTCTGCCGTGAATTTAAAATTCAAATTGCTGTTATCTAACAGCAAAGTTTGAAAATCTTGTATATCCAATTCACAATATCCGCTTGTCGATTTGTAATACGAATACATTCAGAACACAGAACTTTGTAAGCACGTTAAAATATCTCACAATGCAACATGGAAACGCTTCCAGTAACCAATTTTCGAGGGGACTCCGCCAAAATGTACCGTGATTTAGTCAAAAGGACCTATATACAGAAGGACCTGGTCTTGTCTAATGAAAGGAGATCAATACATACAGCAATTAGTTGACAAATAACTGGTGCCAAGCTGCTGGGACATAACTCTGTAATTCCTACACCAATACGTTTGAACATTATGTTGTTTAAGTTTTTGTGTGCCTTGTCCTTAGTCTCTAGAGAGGTCATGAAGTGAGTTTTGAGGTGAGAATGTGGTCTGTGCTTCCAGCGACCTTTCTTGGATACTAGATAATATTAATGTTTTTGTCTCTTGGTGTGTTAAAGCTATAAGGAAAAGACAAGCACTGTTCTTTGGTCTTGTGATGAGGGGGTAGGCTATAGAGGATGTTGTAATGACTGGGAAGATCAACAGTAGAAGAGGAAGAGACTGACTGAAAGAGATGATGACTGATGGACTGCAATGGTGGTATGGAGGTATAGCATCCGTGGAACTGATCCAAAGAACAATGGATAGAGATCTGTGGAGATGCATAAACGCCTACGCCAGTTGGCAGGGAACATGATGGTGATGATGATGTCTTGTAGTAATCACATGATACTCTACTGATTTTGTTTTCTTTGGCAAGAATCACTTGATTTTGTTAATGTTGCATTGATATTCACTTGTGACTTTTTTTTATCTTCACATCAGGGAGAAGGAAAGGGGCTACTCATTTTAGAAAAAGAATTACAGAATATGCAGTATATAAAGACAACATTCCCAGCACTAGCAGACAAACCTTACGTGAACAAGTGAGTTATTTTCATATGTTTGTTTCTTTGCTTTCAATTTTAGACATTTGTAACTGTTTGCTTTTTAAATATTTTTCTTGTTTTGTCTAATATCTGCATTAATCCAATAGGTATCACAGCGTATCCCTTAGACCTTGCAAAAACTAAAGAATGAATGGGCCATGAGCCCATAAAAATTCTAGAAAGAAAATCCGTTAAAAAACAACCATTTAACACAGGTCACTAATAAAAACAAAGGATTTTAGTCATCCCCAATCATAGAATATTCACTGGAAGTCCTCACCCTCAGCAAGAGACTAATCGACAGACTGGAAAAGGTACAAAATGAAGCAATGCGCATCATACTTGGCTGCACCAAAGACACATCCTGTAGAGCGGTGAGATACCTACTAGATCTTCCGGATATAAACAGCAGGCTTGAAATGCGCCAAGCATGTACCAACCTCAAAATCACTGAAGTCTTTACACGTCCACTACATGATGAACTGAATACACTTAAAGGCAACAGACTTAAGTGAGGTCAGTCTTGATTGGGCTGGGCAGAGAAAGTACTTCACCGGCTGATTTTCCTTCAAGACATAAACTGTGGAGAGGAATTGATACCCATAACAAACGAAGACAATACTTTGTAGTGGTTATCACCCTGACAAGACTATGCTATGATTTGGCGTTACAAATAGTTGATGCAGAAGTGAAAGCATTGGTGGAGGAACACACATCGCCAGAAGATGCTGTTGCATATACAGATGGTTCTGTGATTCATCAGAAGTGAAGTGCCTGGGCTTTCACAGCAAGAATCAAAGGGAAAGTCATTAAAGAAGACAGTGGAGCCTTTGCTTCTACCACCAGCAGCTTGACAATGGAGGTCATGGCTGTGATAAAGGCCCTACAATGGTTAAAAACTCAGGAATTCACCAATGCATGCTTTCTCAGCGACTCATTGAGCGAGCTACGAATGATCAGTGTTTGGCATGTACAGAAACAGGGGCACCATCTGATACAGCACGCAGAGTTTCTCAAAATCACCTTCATTTTTGTCCCAGGCCATGCTGGAGTGAAAGGCTAGAAGGGCTAGAAAGGCAACTATCAGGAATACACCCAGGCTGGCAGTGCAACTATCAGGAATACCCCCAAGCTGGCAGTGCAACTATCAGGAATACACCCTGGCTAGCAGTGCAACTATCAGGAATACACCCTGGCGTGCAGTGCTGCAACTATCGGGAATACACCCAGGTTGGCAGTGCAACTATCAGGAATACTCCCAGGCTAGCAGTACAACTGTAAGGAATACACCCAGGTTGGCAGTGCAACTATCAGGAATACACCCAGGTTGGCAGTGCAACTATCAGGAATACACCCAGGTTGGCAGTGCAGCTATCAGGAATACACCCAGGCTGGTAGTGCAACTATCAGGAATACACCCAGGCTGGCAGTGCAACTATTAGGAATACACCCAGGCTGGCAGTGCAACTATCAGGAATACACCCTGGCATGCAGTGCAACTATTAGGAATACACCCAGGCTGGCAGTGCAACAATCAGGAATACACCCAGGTTGGCAGTGCAACTATCAGGAATACACCCAGGTTGGCAGTGCAACTATCAGGAATACACCCAGGTTGGCAGTGCAACTATCAGGAATCGGCCATCTATGAACAGGAGAGACATCATTAATGCAATACGAGAGACTAAACACTGTAAGGCTTTCAGTTTCATGGAAAAAGATTTTTCACTGAATAGACTACATACCCTGGGTGTACCAATGAGAGCAATGAGACAGGAAAACCATGTATGAGCCACACATTGTTACATCAGCCATAACAGAATGGGAGTTGGTTAGCATAAAAACACTTGGAGACCTACTCAGGAGGATACTGGAGCACTTATGGTCATGTCTGATGTGAAATTGTATAGAAGTAGTACAATTTACCCCACCAGGACATTACACAAGCGATATACACCCGATGACACAAAGTGCCACCATGTGGATGAGGATCACCCATGGAGAGGCTCTGGAAACCACGCTCAGCCTTTAGGCCATATTTATGGCCGGGCGATATTGCGACCCCCGGCAAGAGCCAGGGTAGGGCTTCAAAATAACAAAAAATGTCATCCCTCGAGGGGATGAATAATTGTATTAAGATGTGAAATAAAGATGATCTGCAAATGAACAATGAACATTGAACAAATATATTTTTAAGAAAATGTGTGTATTTATATTTTGTTTCGGGAATATGTAAAGATATATAAAAGGGGTAATCAGTGAACATGAACAGAGAGAAGCATTAAATAAAAGACATTCCTTGGGGCCTCACAAAACATGCATCAAGTGACTTGTGCCATGACCCTGTGACCTCTATCACTATGGCTACGCAGAAAATTAGAAGGCAGCATGGCAGTGAAAAAGTCATTTGGTTGACAAGACACCCCCCCCCAAACCCCCCCCCCCCCCCACTCACCTTTTCAACCTAAATGTAATTTTTAGTAAATATATGAGTATCTGAGTCTCCTAACCTCATAAGTACTATAAAACAACTCTATGCCAAGGCCAACAGTGCGGTCACGCTGAACGAACAAAAAAGAAGCTGGTTCTGAACAACAGTAGGAGTCCGTCAGGGCTGCCTCCTCTCTTCAACACTGTTGATCTTTTTTAGAAAGAATTATGACTGATGCCCTAGAACAACATCATGGAACAGTTAGTATAGGAGGTTGATTAATAACAAATGCTGTGCAGGCATGAACTGAACCAGTGATTTTGAAGTTTGCTTCTCGCAAACTGATCACTGCAGACATGTACATTTTCTTTGCTCTTTGCTGGGAATCTGGGCAGCAGTGGGAATGCTGGCTTCAGGGCTTCACACAGGGAAAGGGTCAGCAGATAATTTGTAGTCAAGTCAGGGCACACTCGCAGACTTGGTATGTTGTGAAGTTGTGAAATCTTATTGCCCGTCTCTCTAGCGTAGTTGGCTAAACCGGATTTGCGGTGAGCGGGTGACGAACTCCTTGTGGTCCGGGTTCACTCCCGGGGGTGGGCAGAAAAGCCACATTTCTCCCAGATTTATGGTATTTAAAATGGAATCAAGGCCGAAAGGTTGCGATATCCATAATACCGAGCCTAAGGGTTAACAACTCATGGCTTCCGGATACTAAAAGAAACAAACAAAACCAGATTGAGCCAACCCCAAATGGTTACCGGGAAAATTCCTGAGAATCGTAAGCCCAGTGCATCAATGAAAGGAAAAGTTAAAGTTGAGAGGATCAATTTCATTGCACCGGGTTTTATCCCATATGGCTTGGTCTCTCTCTGCAGAACTGCTAGCAGCCTGCCGAGAGTGACACGCAAAGCACAAACTCCGTATCTCCAGTGATGATCCTTAGGGGTCAGAAAAATGCACTCGTGAACTGAAGGGCACAGCCATGAAAAAACCCATGACCTTCAGAGCGTGAGGCAGACGGCTTGACCACTTTGCTACGGAGACCCCACAATGAAAGAAAAAGGGTCATTTATACTTTACTTGACCCATGGTTACTCAAAACTTCATTCTGGAAGACTGTACTTCCTAGGACATTTTCCCTGGTACTGATTTGGGGTCTTTTGAAATTATCAAACTGTAATCTTCCTCTTCTTCTTTGCGTTCACCGGCTGTAAACTCCGGTGGAAAGTTCTGGTTGTTCGTCCACTTCTGGACTGCAGTCCTGTTCCAGAACCTGAGTGTTGCTTGTGCATCCATTTTACAGATCTGTATGCAGACTGTTGGTTCCTTGCCCCTCAGGCAGATGCACTCCGACTTCGAAGAAAGCTCCCAGTTAGTCAACTCTTAGGACATGCTTTTGGGTAGGCAGTGGGTCTATTCTTGTTTTCCCTGTAATAGGACCCCAGAACCCATACAGGGATTCTCAAGCTGTAATGACACATTTCCTGGTGTGGGTCTTGGGGACCCCATTTGGAGGGAGGGAATAGACTCACCCCCCCCCCTCTCCACCAAACAAACAGTCTGCTTACATACAAATAAGCCAGATATGTAAAACGGATATGCACACAAAACTCAAGTTCTGGAACAACAAGACTGAAGTCCAGAAGTGGACAAACAACCACAACTCTGTACCTATGTTATACAACCGGTGAATGCAAGGAGGAGGAGAAATGACATATTGCATGTTCTATTTTGCTCCAGTGAAGGGGATCCAATGGTAACCTGGAGCAGGCCACTGGAGTGGAGAGCAGATGCTTATTACGCTGGACTGGTGGCCAAGGTAGGCATGAGGATCTGACTTGTTACTTAGCTCAGCTTTCAGTGTAGTTTTCAGGGTCCTATTTTGGTGTGAAAAAGGAGATTTGGCCAAGGTAGGTCTGTTGATCTTTCTTGTTACTTAGCCCAGTTCCCAATGTGAGTTTCAGGATCACATTTTGGTGTGAAAAGGCAGTGGTGGGGGGTAAAATTAAATTTGCTACCCTTTAATAGGCATTTTAAAAAAGATGACTATTTAAAGTGTTTGCTGTAATTGGACGTGTTGGGTCAAAAGGTGCAGATATCACAACCGAGCTGTAAACCACAATATAATTTTCATTCAAAAAGCAAACACAGAAGAAGAAGAATTTAACTCAGCTTGAAGCTTTACAGACATATCTTATAGTGCATAGTCCATCATCATCTTTTCTTCCATTAAAATTCTGAACCTTGCATATAATTCATTTAATTTACATATGCGTTAACTGTTCATTACAGTCCAGCGTGAAGCTGACCACATCACCCACCGAGTGCTGATTGGTCTATAAAATATAGGTCTAGCCCTATATGCCCAGTACGCCTAAAGGCGTGGAAAACAGTCCTTTACTTTAAAAAAAAAATAATTAATTACAATATTTTTTTTTACCAACGTCATGTTACTGATGCCAAATATGGACATTAACAAACAGAGGAAAAAATAAATTGGAGACAACAGAAATGAAATGTCTACAAACAATCCTAGATGTGATAAGCAAAGACAGGTTTGGACGAAACTAGTATGCCAAACTACATAAGAAGATAACAGACTAAATGGTTTGGACATGGCTGTATGCACCACAGAGAGCCTTGTCACTTCGTCACAACAGAAAACTTTTCTTAGTCGTCGCGCCTTTTTTCAATTAAAATGTTTATACGGCGTCCTAACCTAAGTAAAAGTATGACAATTCGTAAGTAAGAGATAAAAAACAAATCACACACACACAAAATCTCGATCATTTTTGCTTCTCACGTTTTTGTTTAGTTACACCAGATGTCTTGGTTAAATTAATTATGAAGCTTTTACAATATTTCGCGGTGCCCCCTTGAAGAGGTCATGATTCCCGGTGCCGCCGCGGTGCACAGTCTGGGAATCACTGGTTTATAAAGATTTAGGTCTGGGCAACTATGCTCAGTGCACCAATGACATGAAAATGGTATTTTACTTTACTTACTTTTGACTGACTTTTTAAAATATTTTCTCCGAGTCATGCCGGTTTGTTGGGAAATGAACAGGCAGATAGACTGGCCGGTTCTGCACCACTTGGTGGTGAACTGATGTATGACAAGCTGGATGTTGTGAGGGTTCTTTAGGAGTGAGTGAACAGTGCCAAGGAACAGACAGATCATTACGGTCTGAGGAGAATGGCACTGCAAGGAGTTATCAGGGGATTTGGCTGATGCTCGACACTCAGGGGGAAGGCGAGATGGATATATAATCAGATGGATACTGGTACCATCGGAATTTCAACTCTTCGCTTGCTGCTGAAAATGGGGACAGAGCGCTTATGGGGGTTTACCGAGTGCTGTGATGTTGATTCTTAATTCAACATTCAACATTTGACTTACATTTTACCCCACCAGGATATCACACAGAGCGATAAACTCCCGGTGACAGAAGGTGCCACCATGCGGATGAGGATCACCTGTGGAGAAGTCCTGGAGACTTCATTCAGCCGTTAGGCCCCTGGCAAAAGCCAGGGTGGGGTCTTAAAATAACTAAAAATTGCATCATGCATGGGGACGACTTGATTAATTCTGTAGCTTGAACCTGGATAAATATACACACTTCTCATCCTTTTGAAGTTAAAAAATAAAACATAACTCTTTCTTACTTTTAACAAAGAATATTTCCACAGGTTATAGCACAGCACCAGAATATTCTTAAGGGCCGACCAGACTCGGAAATAAAAAACTATACTCTTCTCGGCAACGACAATGGCTTCCTGAGTTACTACCCAAACCAGTTCACACAACGCACACTTCTGGCACGTTTTCAGATGAATGTGACCAAGCCTAACTATGTCACTTTTGTACGCAAGCCCGTCTACATGGTCATGAGCATGCTGTCTTTACTGGGGGACCAACAAGTCTACGTAAACAAGTCTGGTGAGGATATGCAATTTTTTGTTGTGCTGTCTTATTTGTAGTTTCTTCTTTTCATGATCAGCATCACCCAGCTCTCTATGTGCAATCAGAGAAACTCTATGTGCAGTCAGAGAAAATCTATGTGCTATCAGATAAACTCTATGTGCAATCATAGAAACTCTGTGTGCATTTGGAGAAACTCTATGTGCAATCAGAGAAACTCTTATGTCCAATTGAAGAAAATCTATGTGCAATCAGAGAAACTCTATGTGCAATCAGAGAAATTGCCAATTGGAGTACTGTGGGGGCCCTAATAAGGGCCAATCATTCTAGATGTATACTGCTGGGTTCACGCACAAATTGACAATTAAAACAATATTACGCTTTAGCAACGTTGAACAAATGCATCCATACTTCAAGAGCTGAATATTGAAGAGGGTTGGCTAGTAAAGACAATAAAACAAAGAAAATTGAAATATTTTGGTCACTTGAAACGTCATGGAAGTCTAGAGAGAACAATAATGGAGGGGTATATGCCTGGGAAGAGAGGAAGAGGAAGGCCAAGGAGAAGATGGGTGCAGGATGTGGCAGATGATCTCCAGATGGGTGTATCAGACGCAGGACATCTTGCTCAGGATAGGAAGGTTTTCCGGAGGGTTGTTATGGCAGCGAGGTTCCGCGAGGGACATGCTACTGAATGAATGAGCAACGTTGAGAAGATAGCGCATCTACCCATGGTGGCTAAAATTGAGCCAATGAGTTAACATATTTGGGGACTTTAAAAATGGCAGATACATGTTGTATTGTCAGTATGGATATAAAATAGCCCAATCCAAAGCAGCATTCGGCAGGATGAAGAAATTTAAACAAATTTAAACAACATATTTTTGTCAAATACCTTGTGGTATTCTGCTTAGTGTGCTAGCCTCCCATGACAGTGGTCTGGGTTCAATTTGCAGCAGAGATCAGCACACTGTTAACTATGTTTTTAGCTAGTTTATACTTAACTTCTTTACTACTGCCGTTGTCAAGGTAACAAATGACACACATGCGCTGCTTGCTTCAGCCTGATCCACATTGATTTTAAAGTCTTGAGGGTAATTTTTCTATGTTCTTTCTTTCGTCATCTCACTGATACCAGGTTATAGCCCAATCTCGTGATTTTCTGAAGTTGTCTTGTGCTTCTAGGGTGACTTGGCTGATGAATGCATTCATCTTTTTGCAATTTTCTGCAACATCATTTATCCATCTCATTCTTTGTTTTCTTCTCGCTTTCCTCCCAGCTGTTCTGCTGTAAAAAGTCTCATATGCAGTTTGGTCTGCCTGCATTCTCACCATGGTTGATGGCTGAACCATTTCATTCTTTGACAATATAATCCAGACATGGTCTTATTCCAGCTTTCTCTCTATTGCTGGTATTCATGACCCTGTCTCTTCTTGTGTTGTTAGTGACATTGCGGAGACAGCACATGTCTTTGTAATTAATAGTAATTCTACTTTTCTGCTGTTCAAACCAAGACTTCTTGTGATGGTTCCAGAGCCCCAATCTGGTGAAAGCAAGAATAGACCCAGTGCAACCCTAACAAGCATGTCATATGAGTATACTAATTAGGGGCTTCCTTTCAAAGTCAAAGTGCATTTTCCTGAGGAACTAACAGTCTACATACAAATAAGCCAGATCTGTAAAATGGATGTCCATCTAAAACTCAGTTTCTGAAACAAGACCATAGTCCAGAAGCGGACAAACAACCAGAACTTTCCACCAGAGTTTACAGCCGGTGAACACAAAGAAGAAGAAGAAGAAACTAAAACAAATGTGGAAGATAATGATGATGATCAAAGAATATTCACCATTTTTCTGTAAAATTGAAACTACAGAAGTCTTAGGGGATATGATCAGTTAATAAATTTCTTCTTGTTGTCCATGCCACCAACAAATCAGAGGCCATATATGAGGTGAAGGTTGAATTCAAAGGATCTCCAACACAGTTTTGTATCGCCTTGGTTGTATACTCTCTCTGCCTAACTTAAATTCTGAGTTCAGTGACCCCCAGCCCCTTCTTTTATGTGGCTTTATTTTACAGTACTTTCTGTAACCTCCGTTTATGTTTGGTTATTGAAACCATACTATCAGCAAAGATGGCAGCATTTAAATATTGGGTGCTTTATTACTATCCTACACCAAACAGGGGAAATCCACAGGTCAAGGGACAGTCTAACATTTCAGGGGGTGGTAGATAGGCTGCATGCAGTCCTGGGTCCTAGGCTGCATGAAGTCGAGGGACCTAGGCTGCACTCTCTTGTGGGATGTAGATGGGTTGGGGTTAGGGCCAGTTCTAGATGTTTTCGGGTTGTTAAAAGCATCAGAAAGCGGGAAATCCAGTCTTAGCACCCTCTAAAATGTTGGACTGTCCTGTGACATCATCTGGGGTAGAATATTTTTAAAGAACCAAATATTGTTCTGTTTGTGTTTTAGAATCAAATACAAGTGACTTTGGGACCTTGGTCACTCTTCACCAAGCGAAGGACAACAAAAATACTTCTGACAGGTAACAATTTTTTTCCCTTTGTCTCTCTGCATTAGAGTCATGAACCAGGCTTGGCAAGGCTTATATTAATCAATGAGGTGCCTGCTCCACAGTGAAGGTTGGCTGTAGTGGATATCCAGAAATTGTTTCTTGTCATGGTTGCCCATGAGACTGCTGTTAATCTGTCTCTTGTCATGGTTGCCCATGAGACTGCTGTTAATCTGTCTCTTGTCATGGTTGCCCATGAGACTACTGTTAATCTGTCTCTTGTTATGGTTGCCCATGAAACTGCTGTTAATCTGTCTCTTGTCATGGTTGCCCATGAGACTGCTGTTAATCTGTCTCTTGTCATGGTTGCCCATGAGACTACTGTTAATCTGTCTCTTGTTATGGTTGCCCATGAAACTGCTGTTAATCTGTCTCTTGTCATGGTTGCCCATGAGACTACTGTTAATCTGTCTCTTGTTATGGTTGCCCATGAAACTGCTGTTAATCTGTCTCTTGTCATGGTTGCCCATGAGACTACTGTTAATCTGTCTCTTGACATGGTTGCCCATGAGACTACTGTTAATCTGTCTCTTGTCATGGTTGCCCATGAGACTACTGTTAATCTGTCTCTTGTCATGGTTGCCCATGAGACTACTGTTAATCTGTTTCTTGTCATGGTTGCCCATGAGACTACTGTTAATCTGTTTCTTGTCATGGTTGCCCATGAGACTACTGTTAATCTGTTTCTTGTCATGGTTGCCCATGAGACTACTGTTAATCTGTTTCTTGTCATGGTTGCCCATGAGACTACTGTTAATCTGTCTCTTGTCATGGTTGCCCATGAGACTGCTGTTAATCAATCTTTAGATGTTATGTCCCCAAATGAGTTCTCTTTTTTTATCTTGCTGTTCTTCTTCTGTTGAGTGTTGAGCTAACAACTGACATCACACTACTAGGGACATTCTAATAAGTGCTCTGTCTCTTTCTTCAGCAACCAGTGACGAGTTCCGACTCCAATGGTGCCGGTAACAGTTTGATTCTATCTCTGTCTTGCCTTTCCTGTGAGTGTAGAGTCTCAGCCAGATCTCCTGGTCACTCCTAGCTGTACCATTCTCTCCACACCATCTTGATCTAATCATGCCTCTGCATTAATCTTCTTCAGCAATCCAAGCCCCTGAGGTTAATTGCTGCAGATATTCCCAACATCCATTCATCTCTGTTATTGACCTTCTCTCTGCAGTTGGTGACTCCAGGTGTTTGAAGGTCTGTCAGTGTATTATCCGCTCTTAACAGTTGGTGACTCCAGGTGTTTGAAGGTCTGTCAATGTATTATCTGTGCTTCCTCTTATAGAGCTGTCTCATTGTCCACTTCCATTCATTGTTATGTTATGTTACCACAATCAACATCATCGCCTGCTCAATCCTCTGATGCAGCAACCACTCTGAGGTACTTCTACTGATTGTTCCCATGAGAGGTTGGTTATAATGTCTCCTGTCTCGGCCTCGAAGGTGGCATAGACGTGCTTCACCATGCTTTAATCTCATATCACAATCGTGTTAGGGCCAGAGATTCGTCATTATCCACTAGCCCAGTCTGTACAGCGTTGATGACATTTGCTCTGTCCATGCTTCTTTCCACATGCATTGGTGCATTGCTTGCCATTTTGTCCGTTGCTTATTACTCTTTATGCCAGCATGACCAGGTGTGTAGATCCAGGTGAGGGAGGTTAAGTGCAGTTTTCAAAGAGAGAGAGCATAACTGATAATGTCCTAGGTGTGGTGACAATGATTTTTGGGTCATTGTTTCATTCAGAACTCTTGTAATTTGGTACTTACTCTAAATCTTAGTCAAGGTTTCAACACTTTTGTTTACGCAGTTATTGTCTATTACCTGCCATTCTCTCTGTATGCCACAAACAATGCAGTCTATTAGGTCTAATGCTGGTATTCGTAACCCTGTCTCGTTTAGTGAGTTAGTGACCTTGCTGATACACCACATTTCACATGTAGTTATTTTATGTTCTGGTTCCGTATTCATTGTCCATGTTTTGTCCTGACAACATAAAGTAGGGATAAAGATGCTATTAATCATTTGCTGTTTTGCTGAAAGGGAAATATTTGGGTGTCTAAGCAGTGGGGCTGTTTGGTGGGTGTCAGCCTTTGCCTTCTGTACTCTGGCTTCTATTTCTCTATCGAGTCTGCCATCCTCCATAAACATGCTTCCTAGACATTTGAACTCTCATACCTGTTTGATTGTAGTATTATGTTTCCTGCCTATCCTCATTACCTCAATTTACGTGATGTTTATTCTCATTTCATACTTTGTGCAGGCTTGATGTGAGGAGTCAGTATGGTGTTGTTAATTCTATTCTTTGGGTGTAGACATTGATTGTCTGCAAAAAGAAGTTTAAAAAATAGTGAACAAACAATTAGCCCCGGAACAATCCAGAAATATGCACATGTAGTAAATGCATATAGCAGTTGCTGGAAGTGCCAAAGTCAACAGTCGCCACCAGAAGTGCAGTCTGCCATTTATAGAAGTATTCAGGCATGATAAGTTGGCTAAACACATGTAGAACTATTAGATAAGGTATTTCACCAGCTGAGACGTAAACCGGCTACCGGCCATATTGAATACCATGCCACAGCTCCACAAATGAAAGACATTCCACGCGAATCACTTGATCACCAAGACCTCAAGTGGCTAATCATTGAGATGCATAAGTCAAACATTAAAAGATAACAGTGGTTAGAAAAACCTGTCCCGCTAGGCACAGAGTAGACTTGTCAGTCAATATCAGATTTGTTTGCTGGCGTACAGTGGTGGTTTTCTCTTGTTAGCATTCAATAGCTGTAAACTCTGTAAAAATGGCTGTAAAATTTGATTCTGGTTAAGTCTTGTTCTAGAACTTGAGTTTTGCATGCACATGTGTTTTACAGATGTTATCTAATTGCAGATTGTTGGTTCCTTGCCTGTCAGGCAGATGCACGCCAACTTTGAGGGAAACATGCCTTCTATGACCTACTTGTTGGGGGGTGGGGTGGAGGAAGTGGGTCATCAAAAATGGAGCCCTAGAATTGAAACTGTGAGACCTTTAGATTCATTATGGAGATCACAGAACTTCGGGACATTTTCAAAAGTAAAAACAGTAATCCTTACTGAACGGAACAGAAGTGCTGTAGACACTGCACAATCAGAATGGAAACTCTTCATTGACTGATGTAGAAGGAGACGAACCACAAGTGGTGTTGTCCTCAGTTGGTGATACTAATCACAGGGTTATTGTTTAATTCAGAACTGTTGTAATTTGTTTCTTAGCATAAATCTTAGTCTAGGATTCAGCTTCACTACAATCAGGTAATCCCCTACTTGCTCTGTTCTTTTGCCCGTGAAAAATCAAATCAAATAAACCAAACTGTCCCCTTTGAAAAAGAAAAAACACCTGGTGGACAAACGGTTAATAACAATAAGTCACATTTGTTACTTAAAGCTTTCAGTCCAGGGGAGGGGGGGGGGGGGGGGGGGGGGTTGTTAGCATCAGAGGCCCAAGGGGTAGTAAAGAGTGACGTAAAATCTGTACATCTTATGTTCATTGGGTTTCTAGGTAGGAACCTATGAACATATGATGTGTTCCTTGGTACTGAAAAAACTTATTTACTTTTATGGAAATATTCTTATTTATTGTTTTGAATCTCTGTTACATTGCCAAGTTGGCAGATGGCTTTGCTCATTTATGGAGCCTCTGACCCCAACACTACAAGAACATACGCCATTATGAGCATCAACTGGGTGATTGACCCACCGCCTGGCACCAAAAGTGAGTCTGTTGCTCCATGTTTTCTGAGATATTTAAAGTTTTCAGATGAAGATTCAAATTCAAATTCTCTTTCGTTGACCACTTTCAGCTAGGTCCGCTCACATTTCTGCTCACTTTCCTTTCAGCTATATTTGTGGTGACGTTTTCTGGTCTCGATCTCATTTGGTTTTGGATTGTGTTCAATATTGTCGCTTTCTATTTATTGTGATTTCCGCTCTTGCTGTTGCTTTTGTAATTTGGCTGGCCCTGTGCTGCGCTCAAGATGATTGGATGTTGAATCGATTTATTGTGGTATTCCTTGGCTGTTTGTTGTTTCCGGGGAAAGTAAATTGCCTATCCTAATAAGGACCGGCGGTCGATTGACTTGGGCAGGTACTGATGGCAATACTGGTGAGGTCTGGTATTATTTGGTGATTTTCTCGTATCCTTGTTGTAAAGTACTACTCCTACATAGGGTTTCAGTAATTTTGGCCTTGGTTGTGTCGTATCTGGTATTAGTGTTTGAGGTAACGGTGTCGACCTCGTTTGACTTCAGGTTTTGGCTGTCGATATGGTTCCTCTGGTGATGACCAAAGAACATCATCATCTTGCAGTTCTGAGTTAAAGAAGTCCGAGTCCTCCAGCTCCCTGATGCGTTGGTTTATTTGGTTAGTAGTTTCTACCGGAAACTGTTTCATCAGCGGCGTTGGTGTTTTCTTATCTGGTGTTTGATGTGGCTTTTTCTGGGTCTCGGCTCCCTGTATTTGCTGCCTTCTTGTTGCCTCTTTCCGTGCTTTCTCTCTTTCTTCCATCACTCTGTTGGTTGCTTGCAGTTCCTTATTAAGTCTGTTGTTTTCTTCGTATGCTCTTCGTAATTTTTCCTCTGTTTCAGCTAGTGCCTTCTTGATCATTGCGACTTCTTTCGCGAGAAGTTTTTGGTTATCCCGCAGATCATTGATGCCCGCCTCGTCTTCCCTTGCTTTAGTTGGTTGTTCCTTTTGTATCTGGATAGTGGCCAGTGCATTCATGATGTCCTCCTTGAATTTCGTCATCTCCGCTGTCATCCGTTTCTGGGTGTCAAGAGTCGCCTGCATTATAGCTCTCAGGCCTGTTATTTCATCTCTGTCTTCATCTCGTTGGGATTTGGATGCTTCTTTCTCGTCTCTGAGAGCTTGGATGTCACTTTTGAGTTGAGCCACCTCGTTGCTCAATTTGGTGGTAATGGCTGCAGTTATGCCTTGGGTTGCTTCGTGTCTTCTGCGGGCCTCATGGTATGGAATCTTTTCCCGTATGGCCGTGGTTGCTATTTCTCTGCATTGTTGCAGATAAGGGCACCCCAGGTACCTGGTGCTGTGCTGGCCGTAGCAGTTTGCGCACTTTCTGTTCGTATTGGGTGACTTAAAGTCTGTGTCCAGCTTTGCCAGCGGGCAATTGTTGAAGGCATGGGGTTGTGAACAGTATCGGCATACTTCATGTTCGCTCACACAAGTGGCCGGGAGTGCCATGCTTTTTGGCAACGAGAGCACTGGATCACCTGTGGCACGTATTGCTCTGGTCTTTGCATTCTTTGATTTAGGTAGACTTTATCCGGGATGTGTTCTCCTTCCGATGTTATCACCGCCACTGGCAATGGATGCCGTTTTGAGCCCAGTCTCTCTGCTTGGTTGATGTTGACATTGGGGTTTTCTTTCCTTATTTGTTGCAGAATTTCTTCGTTGCTCCATTGCAGGTTGACTCTTCGGATCACCCAGCGTCTTACATTCTGGAAGATTGTAGCCGTCACAGTTATCTCCTCGGATAGTCGGAGTTCTTTCTTGCCGTCGTGTTGGATGTCATCCAGCATGTCTGAGGTGCGGTTGGTTCTGTTTAGTGAAGCTATCACTCCTTCTCGAGTTCTCCTAATCTTTGCGACTGCCCTCTTGCCTAATATGATCTCCAGCATATTGATCAATGTTAGCGTTGCCAGTGTAGTGATTGCTGTCCGGCCCGAGCTGGTCTGTCGTAGAAATATTGTGGCAGGAAATTCATAACTGCCTGTCTTTCGTCGATCTGGAGATGTTTGTGGAGTTGGCTGTGCCGGTTCAGGTGACGCTGGAACGTCACTCAGGGCCTCACTGGTAGTCTGGGCGTCTTCCTGTGGTTCAGTAGTAACTGTCTGCGTCTTCCTGGCCTCCGAGTTAGATCGGGTAGATCGGTCAGTGTGTTGTTTCCTCTGTCCGTTGCGCTTTCCGTTAGGTTTGTTTCTCCGTGACATGGTGCTTGCGGAGAAGGCCTCTCGCTCTGGCAAATGCTTTGTATTGTGTTATGTAGGTTTCACTCCTATCTGATGACAATTGCGGAGAAGTCCTCTCGCTCTGCCTATCCTCCAAGGGACCAGCATATACTGTATTGTGCAGGTATCAATACTATCTGATGATTGGCTGATATGGTGGAGCCGATCGCTGCTGTGTTGGCCGGGGTGTTCAGATGAAGAAGACAGTGGGGAGATTATATATACAGCCAGACCTAGGAACACCTGGAGTCACCACCTGAAAAAAGAGGGCCAATCACACCAGCTGGAAAGAAAGAGCCAATCACATCAGCTGGAAAGAGAGGGCTAATCACACCAGTTGGAAAGAGAGAGCCTATTACACCAGCTGGAATGAGAGAGCCAATCACACCAGTTGGAAAGAGAGAGCCAATCACACCAGTTGGAAAGAGAGAGCCAATCACACCAACTGGAAAGAGAGAGCCAGTCACACCAACTGGAAAGAGAGAGCCTATCACACCAACTGGAAAGAGAGAGCCAATCACACCAGCTGGAAAGAGAGAGCCAATCACACCAGCTGGAAAGAGAGAGCCAATCACATCAACTGGAAAGAGAGAGCCTATCACACCAACTGGAAAGAGAGAGCCAATCACACCAGCTGGAAAGAGAGAGCCAATCACGCCAGCTGGAAAGAGAGAGCCAGTCACACCAGCTGGAAAGAGAGAGCCTATCACACCAACTGGAAAGAGAGAGCCAATCACACCAGCTGGAAAGAGAGATCCACTATTACCAGATGGAAAGAGAGAGCCAGTCACACCAGCTGGAAAGAGAGAGCCTATCACACCAACTGGAAAGAGAGAGCCAATCACACCAGCTGGAAAGAGAGATCCAATATTACCAGATGGAAAGAGAGAGCCAGTCACACCAGCTGGAAAAAGAGAGCCTATCACACCAACTGGAAAGAGAGAACCAGTCACACTAGGTGGAAAAAGAGAGCCAGTCATACCAACTGGAAAGAGAGAGCCAATCACACCAACTGGAAAGAGAGGAGGAGGAGCATACATAGGATGTTGAGAGGTATGATTACCTATGCCAACCAGCAAGGCACTTATTAGGGATGATGGTTACGAACCATAACAACACCATACATTGTTTGATTTTTTAAGATATATTCATTTCCTTACTTCATCTGCCCTACTCTTCTGTTACATTAAGCCATGCTATCCCAAATGTTACTTGAGACTCTTTTTGTAGCATCTACATGTTCATCGAGAATGAAGCTGATCATGTTTCAGATTTGTGTAGGGTTCTAATCACTTTGGGACGTGACTGCAGGGACTGGCCAGCTGGTGCTGCAGAATCAGAAGTTCAACAAATGGTTCATGACTATTCTCACCCAAGTGATGTGATTGTCTCTGTATTGAGGGGCAGACGAAGTGCATGGGGGTTCGAAGCAAGGGCGAATGGACGCCACTTGGTGCGACAAAGCGTGGCATATGCATTCACAACATCTAGTTTGAGAATGGAAGTGGAGGCAGTCATGCTGCCTTCCGCTGGCTTGAGAATCAGCTTGTACACACATGTCGTCATTGTAACTGACTCACAGAGCATGCTGAGAAAGGTGGAGACAAGCATGCTCCGTGCAGGGTGGCAAGCATAACTTTAGAGGTCCCTATAGTAAGCATCCTTTAGATATTTTCTCCAGGGCATGCTGGTGTGTTGGGAAATGAGCAGGCAGATAGACTGGCTGGTTCTGCATCACTTGGCTGGATGTTGTGAGGGCCTTTTGGGAGCGAGTGAACAGTGCCGAGGAACAGATAAATCATTACGGTCTGAGAAGAATGGCGCTGCGAGGAGTTACAAGGGATCTGACCGACGCTTGACACTCAGGGAAAAGGCAAGATGGATATACAATCAGACAGTCACTGGTACCATCAGAACTTTAACTCTTCGCTTGCTGCTGAAGATGGGGACGGAGCGCTTATGGGGGTGTCCTGAGTGCTGTGATGTCGATTCCTAATTCAACATTCAACATCGAGAATGATTTGCAAGGATTTTAAACTATTATTGTAAAGATAAAAAAGGATTTAATGGATGTACACTGTAACATGTAAAAAGTTTCAAACATGTTAAAGTTTGGACTTACCTTAGTACGCTTTGATCTGGGTGCTATTTGTATGTCTTGTGAGGCCTAGATGGTTTTCAACTTTTTTCTTTGTCTTCTGAATCCTGTCTAAAGTTACCGTTAAAATTGCTGCATCGACCCTCTCTCTCTAAGGTGCTGGATGTCGCTTATCATCTTCTTCTTCTGCCTTTCTATCCCCCAATGGAGCATAGGCCCTCAACCAACTCATGCCAAGTCGTTCTATCCTTCGCCATTGCATGGAGCTCTCCCCATGTCCTCCCAATCTTTCTAACCTCGTTCTCCAGCTCTCTTCTCCATGTGTTTTTTGGCCTTCCTTTATTCCTATGCCCCTGTGGGTTCCATCTTAGGACTGCATGAAGCCTCGTTATAGGCAAGGTTATGCAACATTTTAAACTTTTGTAAACATTATACGATGCTCCACGTACATTTCCATTAAATACGTCTGTTATAATAACAGTTTAAAAATTTCATCAGTATTTCTCAATGACCCTGTTTGTTGAGGTCATTTAGAAAGTTATGACCCACATTTTTATTTTCTTACAAACTGTTTGTGCAAAAGATATTAAATTCAATGTCTGTAGTTCTTTATGCTTTTAAGGCTTCATGTTTTTTGACAACTAGCTCCACATAAATCTGATCAGCTCACTGATTTATTTTACTTTTAAGTGTCTAATGTTGTAAATTGTTTTGAGGTTTGAGGTTTGAACAACGGATCAACATCATGGCACATGGGTAATAACCCATATGAGCTCTGTTCTTCTTTAAACTCAAGTCTGAGTCGGAAGAAGCTCAGCACAGTGCACAGACTCTGTAGCACCGGTGAGGATCCTGAAACACTTTGGGTAGACGTTAGGCAACTTTTTTCAATTTCCAACTGACAAAGGATTTTTTAATGTGTGCAACAATGCACGCGGGCGTCTGATCTCACTACCCAGAGACCAGGGGAAATTACTAGAAGTCCAATTTCGTGTGAAAAAATCCCAGCCCTTACCGGGGACTGAACCCGGAACCTCTTGCACTAGAGGCGGACACCATACCTCTAGACCACACAGCCTCTAAAAATTGCTTTAATTGTCATGAAGAAGATGAACTGGTGGTTTTGGGAGAAAAAAAAACAAAGGCTCTTTCTAGCATTTAAACATTGGGTATATGGTGCTAAATATAAATTTTTTATAAACCAATCAAGAAATGAATATTGAAGAAAGTTGACTATTAAAGACAATAAAACACAAAAAAGTAAAAAAATTTTGGTAACTTGAAACGTCACAAAAGTTTAGAGAGACCAAAAATGGAGGGGTATATGCCTGGGAAGAGCGAAAGAGGAAGCCAAAGAGAAGATGGGTACAGGATGTGGCGTATGATTTCCAGACGGGTGTATCAGATCTGGGACATCTCACTTGTGATCGAGAAGTTTTCAGGAGGGTTGATATGGGAGCAAGATTCTACAAAGGACATACTACTGACTGACTAAATAAGCACTTGAATGGTGATGGGATCAATATCATACTGGCTGCCTTTACTTCCCTGAAACATTTTAGTACATTTTAGGCTGGGTAGATCTGGAAGCCAAGATGAATTTTGAAGGGAAATTTCAACCCTAGACTTAAGGAGTTAACAGTTGAGAGTATGCTAAAATGGCTCACAATGGTTTTAAAATAAATACATAGCAATTTACTCAGGAAAGTTCCCTTGTGGGTTCTAGGCCGCATTGCGGGGAAAACAAGAATAGACACACTGCCTCCCCAACAAGCATGTTGTAGGAGTTAACTAATTAAGGTGTTCAGTCGAATTTGGAGTGCATCGGAGTAAAACGGATGTACACACAAAACTCAGGCCCTGGCACAAAGCAGAGCCAAAATGGACAAACAACCAGGAGTTTCAAGCGGAGCTTACACGCAGTGAATGAAGAAGAAGAAGATACTCAGTAAAGCAGACATATACTATGTTTTTTAAGCGTTTAGGTACCCTGAAGATAAACAAATACATCACATAAGTATTCTGGAAGCACTAAAGAAATGGAAGAACCGTTAAAAATTATTACTTAGTATTTGTCCACCAGCCAGTGCTATATTATAAACCAAATATAGCACATCAACAGTCAGTGGCACTGAAAGAGTTAATGTGTCAACAGTCAGTGGCACTGAAAGAGTTAATGTATCAACAGTCAAGTAGCATTGAAAGAGTTAATGTATCAACAGTCAGTGACACTGAAAGAGTTAATTTATCAACAGTCAGTGGCACTGAAAGAGTTAATGTATCAACAGTCAGTGGCACTGAAAGAGTTAATGTATCAACAGTCAGTGGCACTGAAAGAGTTAATGTATCAACAGTCAGTGGCACTGAAAGAGTTAATGTATCAACAGTCAGTGGCACTGAAAGAGTTAATGTATCAACAGTCAGTGGCACTGAAAGAATTAATGTATCAACAGTCAAGTAGCACTGAAAGAGTTAATGTATCAACAGTCAGTGACACTGAAAGAGTTAATGTATCAACAGTCAGTGGCACTGAAAGAGTTAATGTATCAACAGTCAGTGGCACTGAAAGAGTTAATGTATCAACAGTCAGTGGCACTGAAAGAGTTAATGTATCAACAGTCAGTGGCACTGAAAGAGTTAATGTATCAACAGTCAGTGGCACTGAAAGAGTTAATGTATCAACAGTCAGTGGCACTGAAAGAGTTAATGTATCAACAGTCAGTGGCACTGATAGAGTTAATGTATCAACAGTCAGTGGCACTGAAAGAGTTAATGTACAGTTGGACAGGAAGTGTTTCAGGGGGATAGTTTGACCTCATTTAGCCTGCTGTTCTCAGTGCTGACTGACTGGCTGGCAAATTTGTTATTGTTGTTTGTTTGCTACCCAAAGGTTTGACACCACCAATAACCCTATGAGCTGCAACCTGGATGCCAACCCAACAGGACAATCCCAGATACCTTGTCCACCCTCCTAACAATTAATAATTATAACTCCCTCCAAAATGACTACACCAAGTATTGCCATGGTGTTCCCTGCTATCTTGCCCAGGTAACGATTCATAAACTTTCCCCGAGTGAGTGACTGCAAACTGAGGAATTAACACCCAGTGACCCAGATAGTCCCCATTTGAATAAGAATCCCCTAGGTACATATTCCAAAACTCCCATTTAGCCATAAGGGTTATACCGAGGCACCCTCTGATTACAAAATAACTTCAAATCCAGTTGGCGTAAGGTGCAATCCTCCCCTGTGTTGGTGTATTTATCCAAACGCTTGGAAATCTGACTGTCTTTGGGATTAAACAAAAATAAATCCAGACAGTATAGAGTGAAATCAACCCCTGTGTTTGTGTAATTATCCAAAAACTTTGAAATCTGACAGTCTTTTGAAAAACAAATTTAGACCGATACACAGAAATAAATAACTATATGTTGCTCAACAGGTCTGAAGATGGTGATGTATGCGAATTACAATGGAGGTGCAAATCCATATGCTGTGTGGACCAGCTTTTTCAACAAGACAGCGTTCCCCTCACTAAAAGAGTTTGCTCAGATTAGACAGGAGGAGGTGAGGACGTGTATTCAGTATGTTTAACACCTTTAAGATTCATCTGGGTAAAGATTCGACATCACAGCACTCAGGACAAGCCCATGTTAACTCCCTCTCCCTCCTCAACAGACAGCAAAGTCTCCACACTGATCCCTCATTGTCATCTGGTTAACCACTTCTCGTCTCTTCCCCCCAATATTGAGTGGTAATGAGAGTCTGCAGGCACTTCCCTGCTGCGTCATTCTCTCCAGGTAAAGTTTTCAACATCTTCCATTTTACTTGTTTCCTTCTCCACAGGTGAGAGATCAACTCTGTCTTGTACAGTTGCAGATCAACCCGAGGTAGTCAACCCAACTCTTTCAAGGAGAAGACTGCAGTGTATTAGAATAACAGGGAATTTGAGGCAGAAGATAGCTAGAGGGTGGTTGTGGTATAAGGATGTTGGATAATTTGAAATCATAGCGAGAAAGAACATCTGTCTCACAAATGATAGTATAAGAGACGGAAGATTGTGGACATCCATGACTACCTGCCAACACCACTTGGCATGGACTATAAGATGAATATATTTAGTCCCAAGAAATGTGGCGATCAGTCTCCAGTGAAGAAAATTACCAGTGTAAAACCCCCTAAGAATTCTTGATTTATTCATTCATGCATTTATTTGTGACAGCAGATGCCTTCCTGGAGGAAAAAGGAGGCTGGGGGGGGGGGGGGGGGGGGGAAGAGGGACTGGGGGAGGAGAAGGTCATTATTGTAGCAACTGCTAAATCAAAAATGTCTTACTTTCAAAGGGACCAAATATATAAACTTTTTAAAAGTAACAATTGTCCGAATTTGTTTAGTGTGTCTTGACTAAATGCAAGAAGTACACATGTGTTGATGAAATGCATTTAAAGAACAGCCAGTCATAAATGGGGTGGTGATCAAATATCTGTGAAGAATATCCAGTCATACATGCCATGCTTATTAAATATTCATGAAGATTATCCTTGTAGGTCAAATTTTATGTAATTTTTGTGTGTGTTTTTTTTAAATCTTTTCGTCAAAGATCCATTTTACAGTACATTTTGTTTTGGATCTTCCTTCACCTAGGACCCATTTTATACTAAGTATGATGTCCCTGTGAAAGCAGGCTGGATCCCTATTCCTCCAATGTTTCAAGTGTTGGACCCTCATGTCATTGTCATGCATCTGTGTGCAGAACCAGAAATTCCACCAGAGAAGGTTGGTCTATTGGTTTGGTTAATTTGAACTCTAAACTTAGAGTTTAACTTGCATAACAGTTTTACATATCTTGTTCATTGTATGCAGCCTGTGGTTACTTGCACACCTTGTCTGTACAAGAAGGTTAGTGTATTGGTTTGTTTAATTTGAACTTGAATTTGAACTCGACACTTGATTTTACATGTACAACAGTTTTATCTTGTTCTTTGCATGCAGACTGTTGGTTCTTTGCACGCCTGTCTGTATTAGGTTTTTTCTGTTATGTAGAAAATTTTCCACACAAAAAAGTAATGCCTCAAATACATCCCTCCAATTATGGATGTGGCAAATTTCTGTTGTAAAGAACTATTTGTTTATCCCCAACAATTTTTCTTGCCTAAACTCTTATCTGGATAAGAGGAATTTCTGATGAGAAGAACCATTTTTTGGGTCTCCAGTGAGTTCTCCTTATCTGCACTGTCAAGGTAGCAATAGTCATTTTCAGTTACATATTTTGTTCACCCTTATGAGTTGTTGTTGGGACACTTTCCGTATGTGGGTTTCATAATCCCACTTGGAGGAAGGGAGGGTGGACTGGTTTAGAAAAGGAGGGGTGTGGGGTGGGGGGGGGGGGGGATACACTGTCTGTTAACATACATGTTGTAAAAAGACAACTAAATATGTATCTGATGAAATTAGATGGTGTTGGACCAGAAGGCCAGGTATCACATCCTAGCTGTGAACCGCAGCAATGCATGCTATATGCACTCTACTTAAGCTGTTAAAGTTGCATAGCTTCACATATTTTTAATCACTCAAACAATCAGGTGCCGTCTTCACAGTGAAGGTTGACTGCAGTGGGTTTCCAATACGCTCTGTCTCTTGTCTTGACTGTACGCTCTCTCAGACTGCACACTTTGTCTCTTGTCTTGACTGTACGCTCTCTCAGACTGCACACTTTGTCTCTTGTCTTGACTGTACGCTCTCTCAGACTGCACGCTTTGTCTCTTGTCTTGACTGTACGCTCTCTCAGACTGCACACTTTGTCTCTTGTCTTGATTGTACGCTCTCTCAGACTGCACACTTTGTCTCTTGTCTTGACTGTTCGCTCTCTCAGACTGCACACTTTGTCTCTTGTCTTGACTGTACGCTCTCTCAGACTGCACGCTTTGTCTCTTGTCTTGATTGTACTCTCTCTCAGACTGCACATTTTGTCTCTTGTCTTGACTGTATGCTCTCTCAGACTGCACGCTTTGTCTCTTGTCTTGATTGTACTCTCTCTCAGACTGCACGCTTTGTCTCTTGTCTTGACTGTATGCTCTCTCAGACTGCACGCTTTGTCTTGATTGTACTCTCTCTCAGACTGCACGCTTTGTCTCTTGTCTTGACTGTACGCTCTCTCAGACTGCACGCTTTGTCTCTTGTCTTGATTGTACTCTCTCTCAGACTGCACACTTTGTCTCTTGTCTTGACTGTACGCTCTCTCAGACTGCACACTTTGTCTCTTGTCTTGATTGTACTCTCTCTCAGACTGCACATTTTGTCTCTTGTCTTGACTGTATGCTCTCTCAGACTGCACGCTTTGTCTCTTGTCTTGATTGTACTCTCTCTCAGACTGCACGCTTTGTCTCTTGTCTTGACTGTACGCTCTCTCAGACTGCACACTTTGTCTCTTGTCTTTATTGTACTCTCTCTCAGACTGCACACTTTGTCTCTTGTCTTGACTGTACGCTCTCTCAGACTGCACACTTTGTCTCTTGTCTTGATTGTACTCTCTCTCAGACTGCACATTTTGTCTCTTGTCTTGACTGTATGCTCTCTCAGACTGCACGCTTTGTCTCTTGTCTTGATTGTACTCTCTCTCAGACTGCACGCTTTGTCTCTTGTCTTGACTGTACGCTCTCTCAGACTGCACACTTTGTCTCTTGTCTTGATTGTACTCTCTCTCAGACTGCACACTTTGTCTCTTGTCTTGACTGTACGCTCTCTCAGACTGCACGCTTTGTCTCTTGTCTTGATTGTACTCTCTCTCAGACTGCACGCTTTGTATCTTGTCTTAATTGTACGCTCTCTCAGACTGCACGCTTTGTCTCATGTCTTGACTGTACGCTCTCTCAGACTGCACGCTTTGTATCTTGTCTTAATTGTACACTCTCATAGACTGCTTTTTGTCCATCTCCTGATGTTGTCCTTTTACTTATATCATTGTCTACCTCTTGTTCTCTTGCCCTCCACCTTTCCCTCCAGTATGGTTTTTTTGAAAGAGTGTTAAGGGATCAGTTTAATCAGAATCTATAAATGAGTGTTTTAATTTGTTGCAGGTAACGGGGCTGAGGTTCATCAATGTCACAGCTGGCCAGGTCATGATTGTCTGGAGCGATAGCAATATTCACACAAAGTAATTTTTCTATGCCACATACATCAGACAATTATAAACATTAATTAAAGGCTGTTTTCGTGGAGTAGAAGAAAATAACTGATGTGGAGCTATGTAGAAAAATTATCAGATTTCAGCGAATCAAGTTGTGAGGATAAGTAACTGTCGATGGATTGAGAGAATCTAATGACAGTTAACCAGTTTTTTTTTTTTTTGGGGGGGGGGGGGGGGGGGGAGGGGGCTGTCCACAATGGTGGGGTTTGGTTGTGGTGTAGCAGCTAGATGCTTGCCTGCGGACCAGAAGGTCAGGGATTCAGGTCCTGACGCAACCAAGCTATCTTGAAAAAATGACCTTGAGTCTTAGGTTAGCCCAGCCCTGAGTGGGTATCAAGTACAGTCCTGGGAAGTCAAGGCAGCTGGTATGACGCTGATCACATCACCAAACCCCCCGTGTGGGTTCCGGGGTCCTATTATAGGGAAAACAAGAATAGACCCATTGCCTACCCAAAAGCATGTCGTAAAAGTCGACTAATTGGGAGCTTCCTTCGAAGTTGGAGTTCATCTGCCTGAGAGGCAAGGAACCAGCAGTCTGCATACAAATGAGTCAGATCTGAAAAACGGATGCACACGCAACACTCAGGTTCTGGAACAGGACTGCAGTCCAGCAGTGGATATACAACCAGAACTTTCTGCCAGAGTTTACAGCTGGTGAACGCGAAGAAGAAGAAGAAGACATCACCGAACAAGTGCCAATTGGTCTATAAAATATAGGTCTAGTCCTATAGGTAAAATTTGCCCCAAGGGATGGAAAAAGGTCCTTTACTGTTACTTGACAAAATGGTACGAAGTTATGTCAGTTTTTTAGGCATAATTTATTTCATTGCTATTGGAGAAGACACTTTGTAGTGAGTACTGGCACCCTTTATTTTAGACACTTTGTGGTGAGTACTGGCACCCTTTATTTTAGACACTTTGGGGTGAGTACTGGCACCCTTTATTTTAGACACTTTGTGGTGAGTACCGGCACCCTTTATTTTAGATACTTTGTGGTGAGTACCGGCACCCTTTATTTTAGACACTTTGTGGTGAGTACCGGCACCCTTTATTTTAGACACTTTGGGGTGAGTACCGGCACCCTTTATTTTAGACACTTTGTGGTGAGTACCGGCACCCTTTATTTTAGACACTGTTGTGAGTACCTGCACGTGTTTCCCAGGTAAAATGCCCTGCAGTTAACTAGAGTGTTCTTTCACTAGAACCCACAGGGAGAAAAGAAAAGAGGTAGATGGAGGTCTTAAATCAAGGGCAGAATATAAACAGATGAATGCTAAAGGGAGGACACTGTGAGAGATGCAGATGTCAATAGAGGATTTCACATAAGTTTGAATAGGACTTCTGTAATACAGGGAGATAGAGAGGAGAAGAAGAATTAGGAGGAGGAGGGAAACAAATTCCTTTGACTCTTTCACCTGGAAACCCAAGAAAACCAAACCTAATCACCTGTACTTTGGGGAATTCCAGGAAACAAAATCCTTAACAAAACAGTAATTTTAAACAGGTCAGTTAAAAAATGTCTATTTCTTTTCATATGGCTGCAGTGAATTCACTGACCTTGTTAGGCCTTGACCTTTTGTTTAGTCCAGCGACCTGGTCTCCAGGTAATCACCAACACTAATGGGTACAATGTCACAATTTCTGTTCAAAAGGCCACTTTTTCCACAAGCCCCACCCCCCCCCCTCCCCCATCTTCCCAAATGTTATTTTAAGTCCTTTATTTTAAGTCTGCAACCCAATCGCCAGGTAAACATTAACAGAAAATTATGGTAGAATTTTTTATTCCCCCCCCCCCCCCCCCCAAAAAAAGAAATTTATCACAAGGTCCCTCCAACCTCCCAGCTGTGATTTTTTTAGGTCCTTATAAATGTTTGTGCAACTAGGTTGCTCATGAGAAGGCATTATAACAGTTCAAAAAAATGTTTTCCTGTTATGAATTTAAGTAAGGCGGACACAAACAATACACGGCACAATTTAGTGCCAGGCATATTTCACTGTATCTTGTCAGGTGCGTTACTGCAGAGTTACACCAAACAGGTGACTGCTAAGAGTGGCCGAAGCTTTAACAATTAAAATTAACAACCCCCTCCTTTGTAAGCAGATGGGTTTTATAGTAAATTTAAAGTTACCCTGGTAAGTCACATGACTATGGTGAACTTCCGGTGACTAGACAAAACATGAGGCATTGAAAGAGACTATTCACATTTCAATTAGATGTATTCAATTTGTGTGCTTCGTTTTATGTTGATGTCACGCTGTAGTAACACACCTGATGAGATACTGTGAAATATACCTGTTGTGTCTACATCATTATAACAATGTCAGTAAAGTCACATCTACGGGAGAATGGACCCAAACCAGGAGTGTCGGTATTGGGGCTTTTTAGAGCGACAGGGTTCAGCAAAAGCAACAGTACTATATTTTAACTTTAGAACAGAACAAAGAGATTCACAATACATATATTATTGAAACGCATATACTTACTTGATTCTTAACAGACGAATGTTAAGCATCCCTTAAATAACCAGAGTAACTAACGAGAATTGCTTGAAGGAAGCTATTGAAAGCAGATCAATATATACAGCTATAAGAAAAAGACAGGCACTGTTCTTTGGTCATGTGATGGGGGTGGGGGGTGGGTGGGGGGGGACTTTTTTGGAGAATAGTGTGATGACTGGAAAGATCAACGGTAGAAGAGGGAGAGGCAGACCAAGAGAGATGATGACAGATGGACAGCTGGATTCGATCCAGAAGACAAGTGAGGGAGATCTGTGAAGATGCATGAACACCTTTGCCAGCAGGCAGGACATGTGATGATGATGTTGGAATCGATTCAGCCATCCAGTTGGCAGTTTACATTTTAAAACTGCACAGTGGTAAACTGAAAAGATAAATATCACACACAGTGATTTAAGTTACCAGATTTATAAATCGTTGCTGCATCATGAACTAACTGGTTCCAAAAGATTTCTTCTTCTTCTTCTTCTTCTTCTTCCTTCTTCTTCTTCTTCTTCTTCCTCCTTCTTCTTCTTCTTCTTCTTCTTCTTCTTCTTCTTCTTCTTCTTCTTCTTCTTCTTCTTCTTCTTCTTCTTCTTCTTCTTCTTCTTCTTCTTCTTCTTCTTCTTCTTCTTCTTCTTCTTCTTCTTCTTCTTCTTCTTCTTCTTCTTCTTCTTCTTCTTCTTCTTCTTCTTCTTCT